CATTTCAGGAAGATACTGTTCATTTCAGGAGTTTTTCGTTCAAATTGTGAACCCCAAATTTGTTCATTGAAAACATATGTGAGAAAGTGTTGCTCACTGGCCTACTACCATGTACTTAAAATCAAAACGAATCACCAGGCGCTGAAATAACAGTTACTGTAACACTGAGGTTTCTGCCCGGAATGACATCACAGTTTTGCTCATGAAAATTGAAATTGCATTAGCAGAAAAGAAGAAAACAGGCACCAAATACCCTTCAAAACGGCAAGACGAAAATTGAAAATAAGGTTAATGGGACACAAAGGTGCATTTTAAAGGACACAATAAGCACAATTTTTGGTAAATTTGGTACTGAGGTCCAAGAGGCCAGCCTATACTCATCTGCTTGAGTGACCGACTGACTGACTGCCTTACTGACTCACTCCCCTGTGGGATTGACCCCATGTTGCACCACATGATGGGCTCAATCCAGCCCACTGAGTAGCCGTTCTGATGAACAGCTATTCTGAATCAACTGAGCAGTATTTTGTGTGCACTGTGACCAGCTTTATCAGGCTTGCTTTGTCTTGCTAATCTTCTACGCAGTCACCCACCTAAGTGTCGATAGATAAGTGTTTACCAAAAATTTAAGGCGCGCCAATCCTTTTGTTTTTGCCAGATGAACATTGATCGGGGATAGAATTTGGGCATATTCGCTTACGAAATTGACTCCGGCAGATGCGCCTGAAAGATAACTGATTCCAAATCGTACAGGACGACACCGTTTGATATCGGGCGGCGAGGTGAAACCTTCAGCGAGGAATGTGTCCTCGGGAAACGGCTGATAAACAGGTGTAAGCCCGAGGTGAACTGTCAGTTCATCAGTCATCGTTCGGTGTTTTGTTTTCTTCTTCTTCTTTTTTAACTGCCAAGACAATCCGTTTGGAAGTTGCTGATACACTGTACATCTAAAACAAACCAATGCCCTGAAGTGACATTTAAGTATTGGCGAAGTTATTTTTCAGTCAGTAACTTATTCCCGTAGGCATTGCATATGGTTTGGAAACCATTATTAAGTTACGTAGTCTCAGCTCAAGAAGGGTTTCGACGGCGTGCGACTTGAAGCAAGACTATATCGAGTGGCCCAATGTGGGTCAACGTACAACGTCCGTGACAGTCAAGACGGTCGTACCGTGATGGAATGTTTCTAACAAGTGGGCCTGTTCGTCACATCTACATGCGGGCGCTGGAGGCTGGGATGAGAGATGGTACATGAGGCAAGAGTGGTTTACTTCGCAAGAGTACTTCATCACCAACGGACTATTGTACACAAGGTGAATCTCAAGCCATACTTAACGTTGTCTGTGCCCGTTAACCGGTTTTCAAGAAAGAAAGTCACCAACGTAACACAGACAAAAAGGAGTTAGCATGATGATGTTGAAAATGTTTTCATGAGAAAAACCTGGAGGTAGATCTGAGAAAACATTGACATCAGTAAGAGGGTTCCAGTGCTCCAAAGCCACAGCAGCAGCGACGAGCATTCTAGGTAAGCAACCAGGATTGTTGTTCATGTTTTTGGTCAGTAACCTCGACGCCAGTGTGTACACCACTTTAACTTGTATTAGTTGTTGCAGTAATGAGAAATGGAACGGCACTTTTTGGCGAGTACTTAACTATTCTAACAATAGATGAATAACAAAACATTTCCTCAGTGTATTAATTAAAGATATAGTTTTTCTTTCAAAGTGCTGTTACATGACAGCGCCTTGAGTAAAAAGAAATGCGTTATACTTATAGTTTCTTAGCAATCAGAACTCCACTCCACCAGGAACATGTAGCCAGCTAACGCAAAAATGTAACGGTCGGTAAACCCAAATCATTTGGCTTTCTTGATATTTTAGCCGGCTGTTTTACCAGGATATAAAAAACAAGACAACTGAATTTAGAGAATTTTCGAGTTGAAATTACTAAACGCCAATTGGAGTATGAAGAAGATTGATGCAAAATGTTCACAGAAATTGTAACAATGAGCAGAGGAATTTGGTGATACGCATTTTATAAAAACAAAAACATATTTCAGCATCGGTGTTTACTTAGCATTAATTAATTACCAATCGAAACAGACCTATCATTAGTCGTGTGAGTCCGCAGCGTGTAATGTTGAATTATTCATTATAGGAAGCATTAATGTATTTGTTTTTAATATGCTGGACAGATAGCGGGCTTTATTGATTACACACCGCATGTGTTGTCCGAGAGACTGCTAATCGAATGTTCACTAACATAGCTGAACTTCGAACATGTGTTTGCTTAAAAATCCATCACAATATTTACCGGACATACGCACAAGAAATTATTTCAAATTATGGCTCCATTTTATTGCGTATTACGCTAGGCACATCAAAGAAAACCTACTAGCATGGCTCGCCGCGTTGTTTTGAAGAAATCGTCATTTCAGTCTGAAAAAAAAAATCGATTCTTCCACCATTGGAATGTTAGACACGGTGAACGGCAAGTTATGTCCCTGAGGAAAAAAGAATTATATTACATATTCCCTGTCTTAAAGGTATATTACAAAATTATAGTACAAATCGATTATGGTAAGCTTCTTTATTCATAATGTCAATGTTTGGGCATATGGGAAGTTTTCCCTCAAATTATTCAAACAGTTATAGTCTCTGCATATACCTCTATTAAATACACAGAGTGGTAGTGTAATTTCTGCACGCCACTTGCATTAAAACACAGATGGCGAGTACACAATCGCTTGAAATAACTAATAATTAATAAACTATTAAACGCAACAAGGCAACGATTAGCGATATTACTGAATTCCTAACATCAAATACGTGTACACAAGTACGGAAGTATATGAAGCAAAATCGCTGTGTTTGATAACCTATCGGGCTATCGTGTAAGGAACATAATATACGAATGGGGTTTTATCTGGAAAAATATGACCTTCCTTGTCTTAATGAGTATTAAATAATTTAGCAATTTTTGGCGTCCAAGCGATGATTAACATTGAATGCGTGGGAACGTGCGCTGAAAAGTGCCACGCGATTGATTCTGAAATGGAATTTAAAGGGACATTACGGTCTGAAATCCGCGACAATTTTGTGTTTTGGATAGTTTACTTACAATGTTTCAAATGCCTGGTTGAAAGGAAAATAACCTAATGTCATACCGTTCCCGAGAAAAGACGAAACAAAAAAACATGTTTGTGTACATCGGACGAGGCGGACCTTTTGTGGCATATGTACGTATTCCCAGCCGTGTTCATTCAATATACGGTACACGTTGTGTGCGTGTGTCACACACAGCACCAATAGACATGTTGTTTCTCTCACGTCCGCAGAATGCGTTGTATCGTTGAACATGTGCGGCAGGATTCACGACTTGCACAAAACAGCTCGATTTGTGACAGTAAAAATATTTTGACCCCGAAATTCGTTCTCACAAGAATAACACAAAACCGCCCAGTTTTTAAGGGATAGTTGTGTGGACGTTTGTGTCCTACTTTTAAATGTTCTTTCCAATTAACATTATTTCGAGTAAAACGCGTTTTGTAGCCCAATTAGGCACATTCCAGGACGTTATTGTTCATTTAAATTATGCACCGGAATTGTCTTCTTTCAATGCATGATTCGATGAAATATTCGGGCGCAGTCAAAAGTGTCGAAACGCGTGTGTCCTTTTTTTTTGTAATATTAAATTCAATAGATACGACACTATGATGTCAACCTGTCGGATGTAGCACAGGTGAAATTAAGGTCATAAACCTTAAAACTACAGTTCCATATAATAAGGAAATTATAAAAACAACAACCACCCAAAAAACACCATGTGGTATCTTTTAATGAGAAAATTTGTTTCTGGATCAGTCAACAGGAAAGAAAGACTGTATAAAAAAAAACTGACTAACGAGCACGCGTTTTTGTAAACTTCTATGATTTCACGCATGAGTGAGATTCCCAAAACAATATGTTTTCCGCACTGTTGGCAACTTGTTCAGATGATATCGATTTCAACGTCATTATCAACGGCAATGGTGGCCGGTGACGTCTGTGTCATACACGAAAATGCGCGGCTCGTTTCTGTTTTGTTTTGCAGTCAGATCTAATCGTCTTTAAAAACGACAATTGACAAAACCACATGTCAGAATTGACTAGAGTCACATTGTATGGACGTCAAGCGCTCGAGCCACTTATAGGCTTTACTCTAGACCGAAGATAAGACATAATCGGCAAAGTAAAAGCGTCAAGATCAGGAGGGAAAAAACATGAAAAGGGTATAAATGTAAAAAAAAAAAAAAAAGCAAAGAAGTCAAAATAATTTCTCTGATACCGTGTCCACCCATCAATCTATTTTAAAATTTGCGTAAGCCTTTTTTTGTATTTTATCGATTGTTTTTGAGTTCCTGACACAAGATGAAACTTATCTCATGATATCAATAATTTATTGTTTGTCAGTTTAGCGGTATGTTATGCCACTGTACATACACGACATGTCTGTATTTCCAGTTGCACAATCAATCTTGTACAAGCTATTTTCCTCCGAGCTCAATGTTAAAGTAGTTTTTAATCTCATTTTTTTTGTCGTGGTTGTATGAAACATATCAACTGACATGTTAAACAAAATTGGCATCTTCACAATAGGCAATCTGCAAACCGCCATTATTTCCAAATGAGATTTTTGTTGGAGTGGTAGAGCCCAGCATGTAATGAGAACCTTCAACAAATTCAACCCAGACAAAATTGTACAAAATTGAAATGTATTCCTATAATTCTATCGGTCAATTTGAAGCATCAAATCTCATTTTGTGGTTAATAAGTCGACCGGCCTCCATTATAATTCTAGCCACGGTAATTTCCGTTACAAAAATTGGTTTTCATTGATAACGAGGGAAATAACCTCGTCTCCGTTATAACGAACCAAATTTCCGTTGGCGAGGATGATACAAACTCCATTTATTTTTGATAATTCTTTATATTATTTTCCATTTTTTTTCTCTATAGGGTCGAGAGTTTCATTTCCTACAAGCGCAGAGTCCTTCTCTACTGCCGTGTTGTTATACAGAAGAGAACCAAAGCGATGGCCACCGATCTTTAATATATGCAGCAACTACCTAGCGACCAATCAACGAGCAAATGAAGCAACGATATACTGGAGACACTTCTACTGATATCACTCCTCCCGTCAGCGCTAACCCTGCCAGTTGCATCGATATGCCACGACGGAGCTGACAACTAAACACCACACAACACTTTGAATCCAAGGCCTCCGCTCGACTGTTAACAGTTTCTCTTGGTAACTAATTGGCCTGGCTCGGGCAACAGACCGATTCCTGAACGCCGAGAAAGTGGAAGAGAATATTCACGGTTAGATATCACAACTTCAAGTGAATGTCAGAATCTAATAAGGGGGGATTTTCTGCGGCGACAAAAGTTGCTTACCGATACTTGAGGATGCATTAGATCCTCCCACGAGGGCACGACATACTCGCCGCGTTCATCGCTACAACGGTTGAAAGTATTGGCTTGGACACCGACGCCTCTGCGGTAATAGTGAGATGATTGGAGGGTGAAGGACGGCATGCTTTCCCGTCTACTCATCCAAAGGTGCCGGTGAACCTCAATAATAATGTCAACCCTTATACATAGATGAGAATGGACATTTCACGGTCGTACTTTATTCATTGAGTGAAACATCAGCAGCTAAATCCAGCTCTGTGAATTTAAAGAATTCAGTGGTTCAATCCATTCTGTTTCGCCATGGCGAATTTGACCAACGGCTGTGACGTCCTCTACCTACTATCGAACGAGTCTTCCTTGGACTTCTGGACTTACACTGAAACCAGCAAAGTACTGATCACGATAATTCTACCCTGTATCCTCGTCTTGGGGGTGACTGGAAACCTCATCTTCCTATTCGTCTTGTACCGAGTTCGCTGGATGCGAAGTGAAATCACATTCTACCTGATGAACCTGGCCTTTGCCGACATCATCTTCTTGAGTTTCACAGTCGGGGAGAAACTCTGGATGTATCTGACTTCTCCTTACATGGAAGACGTGAGTGGAATCGGACCCGTGGCATGCTTTGTGTTCTACCCGGTCCAGGCAATGGCGTACTTTGCCTCCATCGCTGTGGTGACGATCATCTCGTACGAGCGTCTGCAGGCAATTTGTCGCCCGATGGGGAAGATCATGACCAGACAGAGGCATCACTCTAAGAGGCTAGCGGCCTGCTCCTGGTTCCTAGGAGGTGCTTTCTCCTGTCTCCTCATCCCCGGCAAGAGTGTGGTCAGAACCTACTGCGTAGAATGGGAGATCTACAACTTCACTAACACCAGTAGTGTCCCACCTTACCCTGATCCGATGTTACTTTGTGATCCCCTGTGGTCCTGGTCTGCTATGTTCGCTAACTGTCTACAGACTGTCCCTTTCTTTATGGCCATGGCAGGTAACTCCATCATGTACTTCAAGATCATCCAGTCCCTGAACAGTACCAAAGCCAACGCTAATACTGCGGACCTGCGGGCTCGCACCTTGCGAGACCGCAACAAGGTGACCCGCATGCTGGTCGCCAATGGCATCATCTTTTTCTGTTGTCTCGCACCGTTCCAAACAGCGTCTCTCCTACGGGCCTTTTTCAACATCGAAGTCCTTCATTTCGAGGCAGTGAGTACCGTCCTCATGTATTTCAACTCGGCCGTTAACCCAATTGTATATAACTGTACCAACTCCCGCTATCGGATGGCTTTTAGACTTGCCTTTACCACGGGTCCTATGAGTTCTAGGACAAGACGCTTTCGCTCAGTATTGTCAATGGAGGAATATCGTAGATCAAGCGTCGTGCTATGATGAGGCATAATTACACACATTCATATTTGAATGTTATAAGAGCATTCGTGGCACTATTATCCCACACTAAAATGGCTTATATTGCGCGTATTCTATACATATAAATTGTGACCGTAAAACATAAGGAACTTTTTATTATGAGCAAAAATCAACAAAATTTACGTATTTATAAAGGGCGAAGGAACAAATTCTTTACCAAAATTACATGTCACTGCAAAGACGATTTAATGAAATTGAAACGCTTGTCAGTTAACTTGGATGCAGTTTTTCAACTTACGCTATTCAATAGAGTTATAGATGCAGACCAGATTTTGCAAAGACGCTTTCACGGGGCGAAATTTCTGTAATTTAGTATTCTCTTGCTAATATCACACTTAAATATATACGATTTTATCATTCATTCGCATCATTGTGCAGCACTGTTTCCTTGTCGAACGAGTACATTCAAGTTCGTCCGCCCCTTAAGTAAAGCGCACAGGTATATTGGCAGTCAATTCAACTGATTGAAATTTGTATAAATATAACAAACAAAACTGTGTAAATAATCATGGCACGCAATCACGGATTTTTAATACCAAGCGCAAGAATGAATTTATCAGAAATATGGCATGTTAACATTATATCAAAATGCGCTTTTAGACTCTTTAAATACAAAAAGGTGTTTGAGATTATGAAAGTATCATTTTCCTATTTTGTTTAATTGTAGTATCAGCACAAACACTGATTGTGTTATCTTGACAAATATTCAATCGATAGGCGTAGTTCAGTTTGTTTTGACTTTGGTTACTCAGTGTCTCACCTTAACGTTAACAGGCTGATGCTGCACGACATGAATCTCTTATTTTATTTAAATGCTTACAAAAAAATCACTAAATATGGCTTCAGCTGTTTTCTTTTATGCCTCTTCTACTAGTAATAGGCAGGCGCGGACATCCGGGATATTTTGGTTTACATTGGCTTATCTAGCTCCCAGACCCATTTTCTTGAAACTCAATGGTTCTTGAGTCTGGAGTGCTGAATGGTTACACATAGCAACCGATGAAACCTGGTGTGCAAAAGAATAGAATGTTTTCACCGGCTGACGTAATCCTGTCCACGCCTATTAAAAAAAAAATCCAAAAAGCCTCAAAAACAAATTGATTATATCTGAGTCCTGGAGACAATTCTAGCCGACAGGTGCTTGAACCCCATATATGACATTTCACATCTCACTTCCCCCCGTCTAATTATTTTGTGGCTCTCCAACCGATGACAAGGTATTTGTTTAGACCCCGTGACGATATTTACACAAATTCACCATCTCTAAACACGCTTCAGGCCGACCCGTGTATTTTAATACCCGTCTGGCACATTCCACCAGCTTGGACTTGGATTTTGTTTGGGCTGGGTCTCAAGGAAGGCGAAACTAATATCCGAAGAAAAATATATTCTACTGGGAGCTGGCTCAGATTGATGAGGAGCGAGTGATTTAAAGTGAGAGCGACCCAATTTGATCGAACGAGGCTCTATGCTGGAGGTAATATAGGCCAATAAGGGAGGCACAAATAAGTTAGATTCTACTGGACACCCATTGGAAAACAAAAACACACCGTGGAAAAAATATTGCCCAAGCTTTTTGCCAGAAATACGAAGTAGATGATAATATTTATATAATCGAATTTCAGACGCATGATCAGATTGAATCCCAGGACATACCGTTATTTCGTTTTACCGTTTTGGATTTCCTCAAAAACAAAAACAGTAAACGCACCGTTGACCGTTTTGTCGTTTTACAGTTTTGTAAAACGGTCAAACGGTATTAGGTCACAAAAAACAATGACCTTTTTGTTGTTTTTCTTAATTGTTGAAAGCGATAAACGGTCAGTTGCTTCATTTCAGAGTGTTGTTTTACAAGAACATGACAATGAAAAACGGTCAATAGTCCTGTCGACCATTTTTTGATTTAGGTTCTGTAATTAAGCAATGCACTTAGGAATGTTAATGCGTCCTCATGGGATCGAGCCATTGCCTGGGACCCAAATTACCCTCCTCACATTTCGTTCTCACGACATAGTTTTCGAACTGAAGAGCCGCGCCGAACCCCAATTTCCTTCAAATATCTGCAACTTCTTCAAACGTATTACCATCCTGTATCCATTGTTAAAAAGTAATGTCCTCCCTTGAAGTTTTCCAGCGCCATTTTTGCTTGCAACTCTTAAGCCCCACCAACTGAATCGCGTGAGAAGGGGGTCAGGGTCACGCCAGGAATCATCACACCACGCATTATGCCGAGGTAACACTTTTTCATGTAAAGCATGGTCCCCCTCCATCCCCCTTGCCCAGCACCACAAAATGCACCACGGACTGTTCACTATGACAAAAAAACAGTCTGTATTCAATACTGACCGTTTTGCTGTTTTTCAAAGTTATTTGTGTAAAACTGTAAAACAGAAATCATTGATCGTTATGCTGTAATGAATTTTATTAAACTTATAAAACAGAGAAACCGTATTTATCTCAATACCGTTTGACCGTTTTACAAAACTGTAAAGCGACAAAACGGTCAATGGTTTGTTTACTGTTTTTCTTTTGAGGAAATCCAAAACGGTAAAACGAAATAACGGTATGTCCCGGGATTATATTACATGATCAGTTGCTTATTCGAAAACACGCAATTGTACATGGGTTCACATTTTGATCGCTTAATCATTACACGTTTCAGTTTGGATTAAGAATTTAGTTCAATATAGGCCTACAAAGCTTAAAGTTGGTTGCTCAAAATTTACCAACGTGTAAGGAATCTGCTCTAAAGCGAGTCGTATAGATGTACACAACCATGCGAAACACACAAAACAAAACGTTTGTTTATGGTGTAAATCGAGGACACACACGTGCAACATCATCGGTGAATCGAGGACAGGAACCAAATCGAGGACGACCTCGATTAGAAAACGTGTACAAAACCAATGAGAGCTGTACAACAAAGGAAAAGGGAAGAGAAAAAAAGAACCCTCGATTTACACCATAAACAAACGTGCTAGGGTATGTGTGATAGAATACTGAAAATCACCCAGTAAATTACACAAATACCAAGTTGCTTTACCGAACTCGTCTTTAATGCAACGTTAACACCACGAGGACTAAAGCGTAATCCGCAATTGACCAAAATGACCCCATTACGGTAGCAAATGGTGAATGGTAATACCATACCAATATTAGTTTGTCGTCGTACAGATGATGATTACTATCCCAGAGACGACAGGCTGCCGAGACAGCAGCAGGAATCTTTGCTTAAAGTCCGTGTCTAGAATTCCTAACGAGGCAAGTAAGTATTAGAACGGATCGCGCAAGGAAATCAATGGATTACTTCAAGCAACGGCCCTGGGATTTACGTTTTAGGCCTTTACGATCGCACCGAGACTGATAGCTTTTTCGATTGATTCTAAAAGAATTGAACAAACTTTGGCCTGTTACGTTAAGGAGAATACACAAGAAAGTGTGGATTCGTAATTTAAGAATTCACGAGGCGCGAAGCGCCGAGTGAATTCGTAAATTAAGAATCCACACTTGCTCGTGTATTCTTCGACTTAAACCATTGCGTAAACAGAAGTATTGAAAAGAATGTTGCCACCTGACGCCACTTTTTCCTTCATATATCATCTCAATGAAGGTCATTCGTTGCAAAAATGATGATAAGACATGAATTCTGGGACTGAGAAATGTTTCCAATTTTGTTAGGAAATACTTGAAATGACTCTCCATAGACTTTGTACACAAGCGCGGAAGTGGCGTCAGGTTGCAACATTTTTTCCTGGCGTGTTTTATAGCATGTGTATGCCACACGTACACCCGTACAACCAAGTCATTTTGTGTGTGTAGGCTCCTTATCAAAATGGATAGTTCAGACGACAATTTCTTTCTGACTATAGAGTAGATTTTGCAGTGACGGCGGAGAATCTGACAGTGAAGATGCATTGGTAATTTTCGGAAAGCAAATTTTCACGCAGACGGTCTTATCATGCTCATTATGGTGAACAATTGTCCGACGTGTTCAAAGTGTGGATTCGTTATTCCGAATCCACACTTTACTAAAGATTCGTAGTTCCGAATCCACACTTTGTGACCAGTGTAAGAGATTCGTAGATCCGAATCCACACTTTTAACAATAGTGTGACGTCATAGCAATGGTTTAACGTTAAGTTAACACACACACACACACACACACACCAAGGTAGAATTTTGGTGCACCAGATACCTTAAATAGAAAAAAGTACACCTCGTTAAAATAAAATATACAGATTGACAATGTTAGGCAAAAAACCCTGATGAAGAGCATGAGGCAGTAAATATTTAAACCAAAATGTCGAAAATTACTTCGCATGCATGTACATGTACGAGTACAGGAATGTCTAGTGGTGACCATTTTTTTTTAAACTCCAGCAAGAATTATCTAAATGGTCAATAACAACAGGTAGCAACTAAATATATCGCTGGATTTTGAGATCTATTGTGAAACCACAGCCAAAAAAGGTTCAAATTAATATGCTATTGCATTATAATTTATATAGTTAAGCAACAGCAAATATTTCATCCTGTGTTCAGATCATTTTCTTATTTGGGACTCACGACGTATCTATCACAGAGGAACCTACAAAAATAAGCTTAAAGGAGTGAAAGCGAGTCCCATTAAGGAATTCCCATAGCAACGCCAATTAGAGTCTGACCTGGGGCCTCGTTTTTCTCTTTAAATACTTACATCGAGAATTGTGCCTCACGATGGAGTTAGGGTAGCAATTTCTATATCTAGGAAACGGAGAAGTGCCAGGCAATCCCCAACAGCTTCAACCGTCACTTAGCGTGTTTTTAGGGCGGTATTTCAGTGAACTTGCAACCGACGCCATATACGCAATGTTGAAATACGGCATCCACTGAGCAGGCAATGTGCCTTCAACGATGGTTGAATATTGTCAGGAGTTAAGGAATAACTTTCCATCACTCTGTGGAGGCATTTAGTTCACGCCATTTATTACGCGGCGCGCCGAGCGATCTGCTGTATATGGGAAATATGGGTCAATTCTATCAGCAGTCATGCATGTTCTTTTATCATACATCATTCTGTGATTTATTACCATCTGGGTCAGTATGTTTAAACGCGTGTTGAAAATAAGGCCTTGTGAACAAAACCAGAACATTTGACTTTAAAGGATCCATCATTCTAATTCTTGGATGAGATGCCATGATGCAGAGCGCTTTAAAACAATCAATAATTATAATGACAACTCTTTGTAAGTAGTACTGATGACATGCGCATGAAGGTTGCTGAACCAATGATATTTTAAAATAAAAAGTCCCAAATGTGTTTATTACTCAACTATACTCCTGTAAACATACACCTCAAAGTACAATAAGAAAGTGACTTTGTTGTTTTATCCGCAATTCTGGGTATTGATGCATCAAAGCATTGATGAAGGTAAAGTCTTAAATTCAAGAGAGAGTTAAAAGAGTGTGGACAGAAAAGGGAAAGATCTTCCTCTCAATTCAGCTTTAAGCTACACGATCTAGAATCTGGAACACGTTTCACCAGAACTCGAAACACAAGAATGAAGTACAAGTGAAAGAATACACACTCACAGCGTACATGTAGGTAATTAACGAAGGGCATGTGTCACTGAGGGAGCCAATACGTCAACGAGTCGAAATACACGCACCATACCATGAGTACTCTTTGCTTAACTGTCCATCGATTGGTCGAGATAGATCTAGTGATTCATCCATGTGCTCGTCTTGTGACATCACTGTCCACTCTAACTGTCATATACTGCCATATTGAGTTCTTGTCTGTCAACCATTTGGTCATCTACAATGCAGTGAGGCAGTTCTGACTCGATTAATGTCATTACAGCTTGCAGTTGCAGACTCACGGAGACAAAAATCATCCACACAGCAGGGTGCCATAGAAACGACACTGAAAAATAATCGAACCTAGCCGTAATAGGCTACTGCTGCAAACACAGACTCAACTCTCGGTGTACATGCAACCCTAAGCATCTTTCACATCACTGGAAAGCAAATAAATTGGATTTACACAATCAAGCGGCTCCATAGTTGTAAAATGTCATATTGAAACGCTCAATACATGCTCTCACACAGCCCCCCCCCCCCCCGATACGTACCGAGACTTCCCGCGGAAAACAGTTAGGCCTAACATTACTTACGAAAATTACAGAAAACGACGCGAGAATAACTTTCGACCACACTTCAACACTTCAAGTCATTAATTGACGATGATCAAAACAGGCTTTCAGCCTTACCACCTGTCAAAGGATCCAACTGTCAAATTAATAGCTACTTTATAATTGAACACATTCAAAAAGAAAAGAAAAATACGCAAACAAAACAAAAAACTGCGATTTGAAACGTATTAGGAATCACAAAACTTAATCACTTAATTATGATTGTTCCCAGATGCTAGATTATACCCAAATATGGCACTGAAAAGCAGCTGCACGCGAACCGCACACGCGTTAATGTGGCACCATTGGCGACGCATTAATTCCCTAATGATATCTACATCCGAATGTCAAGTTAAATATAGTTCTCAGATGATGTAGATTTACACAGGAGCTTTTGATGAGTTAGTGAAGATCACACATCAAACAAAAAATAGTGTGTAATAAAAACAAAGCGATAAGCGGTGAACGATAATTCACTGTACTGCATAATGTTCCCTCACGAGTCCTTTGATTTTTGCAGTCTACAGGTGTAATCCCAAGATATGTATTCAAAAAGATCTCTGCAAAATGCACCTTGCAACATTTTCCGCTTTCCGCGGGGATCAGTATCGATTTGGCAGAGCATCAAATGCGGCGCTGTCCAAGAGTGTCCCGCGAGATGGCGAAGACACGGCATCAACAGCGAACGCAGCGCAGGAGCGGAGGGAATAGAGATGGCGTGACGGACGAACGACGAGTGAATTATCGGAGTACTTTTGGTCAAGGATGGGGAAATATGAGAGGCAGGACTAAAAGATAACATTCCAGATCATTTATTCTATTTTGATTGCATTAATGTTTGTTCTATGCTGACAGGAACACTGCTTGTATAATAAATGTTAGTCTTTTGGGATAAAACTTAGAAGAAAAAAAGAAAAAGAAAACAAAGGGAAAAGTTTACATTTCCAAAGAATATTTACATTGTCAGCAGTATACGATTTAATTCAATAGTTGGCAATACTGCTCCATGTGGCTCACTTTTCATAGGCACATGTATTTTTCTCTGTTTGTTGCACCACTTTGTACATCACGGATAGTAATCGATAAAGTAGTAAAATCATTCTAACAATCATTAATTAATCTGAACCTATCAACTGTGCTTCTGCAGGGAATTATCGAAAGTTGCTGAAGAGGAATCAAAAATGAGAACTTGGTTTAGGATTTTTCCTATTTTCGTCCGATTTGCTTCAAAGTGGGAGGGGGTATACGATGTGCTATACTTGAGTTCGTGAAGTGCTGGCGTTTTCATTTCAATAGAGAAAAGAATTGTCAAAAAAGATGCCCCTGTTCTCCGACTGATCGTCGGGAATTATGCAGTTTCTATGACAAATATATAGGGCAACAACCTGACATAATCTGTAGACAATCCATACTGAAGATGTTTGTCTAATTACGGTAAGTGTGACGAGTAATCGAGTTATACGATTCTCAGTAATCATCTCGGGGCAGATTAACGTAAACACCACATAGAGAAGGATAATTTGCTTCACATAATCAATTTCGATTTAGTTCTCTTGGGCACATGCGGCCGTTGAATGTCTGCTGAGCTGGCTTGAACAAATACACGATCGTGGTGATCAAAATTCAAGGGAAAAGGAGTATAGAACACTTGATAGCAAGGTATCTCCACAAAACGGGCGAAGTTGAATTTAAAAAGTCGACATGACTTACATTATGTTTTACACAAAGGTGACAATACACAACAAATTCAAAAAATATTGATTGCCAGTATATTCTCCTCTTTGGGCAAAAAGAAACCTATTGGGATTATTTGATGTACATTTCTTTTAGAAGAAATAACTTCCTAGTCATTTTCGGAGGGTTGAGAAATCAAACGTCATGTCTCAATAATAGGGAGGTTTCGCAAGCGAACGGATACGCTTACACTTACGTTTAGCTATCCGTATCCGTTTTTTACTTACGTGTAGCGAGCGAGATATGCGTGTCGTCTGCACGTATGACGTCATACGCCACTCACTATCCGCTAAACGTGCAGACGACACGCATATCTCGCTCGCTACACGTAAGTAAAAATCGGATACGGATAGCTAAGCGTAAGTGTAAGCGTATCCGTTCGCTTGCGAAACCTCCCTAATAACCGACGAGTCGATACCCTTTCCAATAAACCGACATAATTTACGCGCAATCGTATTAATTGGTAATTAATTAGTGATTGGCCTTTCATTACCAGGAAATATATAAACAGAAGCAGGGAGAAGTTGAAAGGTGCAAAACCTGTTTGCCATGGGTAATTTTAATATAATATTAATAAACCATGAAGAATGAAATGGCATATGCAGTTGCACATATATCTCTGAGCTGCAGGAACCATTTGATTGGCCTATGCAGAAGACCTAGCTCTTCAGTCAATAACTGATGTGACTATTGTGCACAGATGCACACACCAAAAATCCATGTCAACGATTAGCATGACAATCAGATAAAAGACAACGTGGGTATTACAATCATCTGCAATGATGTAAAAATTGGTAGCCTATATGCAGGCATGCAACTGGGAAGTCACAAAAAAAAGAGGAAATTCACATTTTTTCAAGACTTTGTACAGTGTTTTTCTATTTTCAATGGCACACTTGGGAAGTACAAAAAGAGGAAATCAGCTGATCCGAGGAAAGGTTGCATGCCTGTATATGACCAAACAATGCAATATGATCTCTTCTATGCCCGTATGACTCCCACGGGAAGCTCTGACATGTATAGACTCTCACTAAAAGCTTCATTATGCTAATTGATGTTAATAGAATTGAGCACTACGAGGGATGATTTGTCTTATTTCTGAGAATTACACCATGGACGATAAATTTCAAACGTGGATGAGGGGTGTCGGATCTCATCATTTCCAGCACGGCGTTTTAAACCGATGAATGCTTCACACTTAATAATTATTTGTAGTACAAGGACGCGTATGCGATGATGAACGACCACTCTGCTAGCTAGAGCTAATAAGTCAGTTTACGTGCAAACGCCGAGATAGCAAATTGTGAAGCTTAGCCGAACCCAATTTCGACGAACCTGCAGTTGATTCAGTTGAATTGATTATTTTAAGCCTACCCAGCTGTTGCACTTTATTCCTGCTCTTGGACTCAATTTCCTACACTAAAAGCAACGTAGTCATATACTAATGCTTTATGAAACTTCCGAGACTGACTTACATCGAGAATTGTCTGGAACACAGTCGCCATGGAAAACACACAAGATTAACAGTTGCAGTCAACTGACACTCAGCTGACATTCAGCTAAAAGAAATCCTTGTAACCAATAAGTGCTGGTGACTGACACTGTTTGCAGCGGAGAACCATGCCGAACGATACTGACTTCGAGGGTGTTCCTGTGATGCCTGAATTAGACCTGTTTGACGTCTTTGATTCCTCAGAGACGATCATCACCATCGTCTTGCAACCGATTTTTCTGGCGATTGGTTTCACTGCCAATGTTGCATTCCTGTTCGTCGTTGGGCGACTGCGCCACATGCGCACGGCCATCAACTGTCTCTTGATCAACTTGGCTGTGGCAGACACCCTCTTTCTTACCGTTTCGGTATCACAGAAGGTCGCCAGGTACCTCTGTACCCCTTATCTGAAGGATGATGCCTTCATGGGGAACGCTGGTTGTGTCTCACTCAAGATCCTTCAGGATTGTTGCTGTATGGTCTCCATGATCCTGATCACGCTTGTGTCTTGGCAGAGGTTCTTGGCTGTTTGCAGACCACAAAGTTACATGCTTCAAGAGAAGATGACCGGTGCCTCGTGCCGCCACGCAGGTTTCTCCTGGATCGCCGCGGCCATTACTGCATGTTTCGCTGGTCCAAGTTCTTCCACTTTCGCCGTTTACTCAGTGCCTTCTAACATTACGCTGAGTAACCCCGACTTCCCCAAAACCATTGGATTCTGTACGCCTGTCAATGTTACCTGGCTTTATATCGGATGTCTTTCCCAAATTCTGCCCTTCTTCGCTGCGTTTGTATTAAACTTTGTACTGTACTGGAAAATCGTCACCAGGATGCGGCGCCACACTCGAAGCATGAGCACTGGGGGAGCAGGTGCCAAACGACGACGGGATCAAGTGACTCTGATGCTCGTTGTAACGGGGGCAACGTTCTTTCTGTGTCTGGCTCCCTTCGAGGTCAACACTCTCTTGATGCTGATTTTCAAGGAGGGAGTTACCAGTCAGGTCATGCACGTGTTCAGGATGCTGATTTACGCTAACTGTGCGATTAACCCTTTCATCTACACAGCTACAAATCAGTGTTACCGTAAGGCTTTCAAGAAAGTGTTTTCCTGCTAAGGCTTTCTGGATAAAACATGGAAGAGACATGCGGAAATTAAGGTTTGGATCGTGGACAATCCATCAAAATGTTGCGTTGAAGATTACACACTAAAATGTCTGGATATGATGGATTTGTCCTTATTTTGCTTCCAATGGAATCACCGCAAAGTATCACGCAAAATAAACCTACAACGCCCTTTCCATTAAATTCCACTTTAAGGAATGACGTCTAAAATACCGGATTCCAATGTGGCCCCGATTTGCCAACCCTAACCGTGCTTAGGATAACTAATAAAACAGGAAACAAGTACAGTCTCTCATTTATCAAACTCTTGAAACCATGGCAGTGAAAACAGGCCAGCTGGATTAGAAACGGGAATCGATATCGAGGTTGACATGATATCAATCATGGGTTGAGAACTGTATATATAGAGACTCCCAATCCACTCTGTTTTTTCCTCTCTTAAGTGGGGCCTAACGGAAGAAAAGTCAAGAGGTATAAGTACATTTTCCTCTGTATGCAAGGAGAACCAGAAGCGTGTTGTTTGCTTGGAAATCGTTCACGTTTGCGTTGCTCAGAAATATCCCAGCGCCGCCAGAGTTTGTTTTGACCACACCATATGAAGGCGGTGAAAGTGGAACAGGGTATTACTTCAGCAATAGCCACCGAAGAGCCAACATGGATCTGGACTCCATCTGCAACGCTACACAGGTTTATAACTTCACGCAGAAAGACGTGGCGATATATATGTACACGGATTTTGTTGCCGCGATAGTGATTGGTATAATGCCCTGCATTCTAGTGTTTGGCTTGATCAGCAACCTGTCTTTCTTGCTGGTTGTGCATCGTGTGAAACACATGCGGACCGTCACCAATTACCTCCTGCTTCAACTTGCACTCACGGATATCGTGAATCTGGTCGTCTCCATCGGGGAACGAGTTTGGAGGTACATCTCATCCCCTGTCACCTTCGACCAGAGAGCGGAAGGCTTGGTACCCGGCTGCATACTGCTCCCTTTCCTCAAAGCCATGTCAAAATACGGCTCTCTCGCATTCCTGACTCTGGTGACACTAGAGATGTACTTGGCTATCTGCAAGCCGATCAAGCACCGCTCGATCACAACCCGATCACTTACCATCAAATTGACTGCAGCTTGCTGGGCCATCGCTACATTCGTATCTGTCCTGAGAATCCCTTCCCATTGCGTCTTTAAGCAGTTCTGTGTTATCTGGCCGACCTCCAGAGAGTATCAACATCTACCAAACGTTGTAGGCAACTGCGTAGGCGTCTCCGACTCGGTGGAAAATGCAAGCAACGCCATTCAGACCACCCCCTTCTTTGTCGGATTGGTAGTGAATACCGTCCTCTACGCTCGCATCATGAAGATCCTGTATAGGAGGAGGCGAGTTGCGGCATCCGATCAACCGATTCGATTTCCTGTTCGAGCTCGCAATCAGGTAGCCCACATGTTGGTCATCAACTACCTAGCCTGGTTCTTACTTGTGTCTCCATTCGAATGTCTCTCATTAGTCTCGACGTTCGTAACAGGTCGCACTCAAACTTTTATCGATGTCACCTACTTGTTTCGGGCTTTGACCTACCTAAATTCTGCCGTGAATCCTCTGATCTTTTATACAGTCCATCCTAGGTACAGAAAAGCCTTCTTAAAAACATGCTCGCAGTGTTTTGGGTACTGTAGAAGCGATGCCTCTCAATAAGATGCCTGAAGAGCTAATTTAACCTCTTTCATCCTTTGTAAAATTGTAGACGTTTTACCCTAGAGAAACGTTTGGTGGGATGCTCGACGGAGGTGTGTATTGAGATTTTTTTTTCTTCAATTCAATAAACATTATTTCCACTCTGTGGAGGCATCATCCCAAAAAGTCGAAGCTTGTGGTGGATGTGCCCAACAAGACAAGCTAAAGCAAGACAAACAACACTAATTATAGAATTTACAAATAATAATTTGTATAAATATGGTACAAATATGTAACAGTTAAACAGTTTTGGAACCAAAATTACTGCAGAAGTTACTTTGTTCTATTAAGTGGTTCCAAAATTGTGCTGTATACAGCATTAACAGAAGTTTTAATTAGGATAAACGTTAATCGCCACGCTGAACGTGGTATTCGAACGTTTTAGGAGTTGTAATAATTTCGCACGTCATGTGCAGTTTATTTCAGCTCATTATTTTTGTATTATGATTATTGTAACTTTGCAATCCCGCCTGGGGAGGATATATCCCCAACACTTTTTGACCAGGAGATGGCAGTCGGAATGAACCCCCCCCCCCAAAAAAAAATGTGGTGAGAAACAAAAAAAATGTTCTCAAAACGGAAAACAACATGCAACAACTTTAAATGCACCTTCATGATGTAAGGTAAAGAGACAAATTTAGCGCGCAAATTTGCAAAATATATTATATAATTTGTATCATAAACAGCGTCCGTGTAGTGTCATTTGGTCCCCCCCCCCCTCCGAATTTCCAATTTTAGAAATTGGAAAATTGGATGACCATTAGAAAATGGTCATCTCCCATCCCCCATTCGCCGACACGGATTTCCGCCACTGGATGTATTTGGTTTATCGCGTACGCCTAATGTTTTAGGATTGAAGTGATTGTATTTTATTTTAAGAATTAGAAAAAAAAGCAGAAGTAAACTAACTTACAACATGATCGAATATAAGTCTGCAGAATTTGTTAATGGGTCCACAAACAAAATATTTTTTTTTAATTTGTCCGACATCATGGTGTTTGGAGCCAATTTGTACAACAACAACAAAAGAAATTGGATGAATAATTTTTATTTTAAATCATTGTATAGTAACCAACTGCTACGTTTTGTCAGAACTAAACTCCATTATAATTATATTTATGCACAGTACTGATGTACATCTAACTCTGCGGAACTGCCCTTTGGTAGAAAATTAAGTTCCTCTTATATAATGTAAATACACTGACATTTTGAGCATGGGCCCCTATTTACATAGCTTGGCGCTTCAATTAAGAAATAAAACCTAGTAATGAAATGTCGGGTTTTTATTTTACATTGGCTTTTGCTGCAATTTTCAGAAATAAGTGCATTTGAAGGATTTATATGTTTTAGCAAATATTGTTAAACTGACTTGTTTCACGTTTTTGGCTTGTAGATGCTGGAAAAACCAAGAAAACCAATTATATTCTTGTAGTCTGGTTCCCTGACCCCACTTAAGATGAAATGGAGCAATTTATAGACTTTGGGGAATTGTATTGCCAGATTATCAATTTAGCTGGCTTGTACCTGTTCACAGGTGTGTAATCAATTGCTAAGAAAATGTGGAATAACCAAATATAAGGAATATGGAGTAGTTTTTTAAAATAGCCAGTTTTCTCCAGCGCTGGCCGGCCGACCAGCGTTGGAAAAATACAATTTTTCTTGAAACTGTCAGCACACCAGGAGCCACAATTTTACAGGAGGCTTTAGACTGTCAGTCCCTAATAATCCAGTAAGGTATTTCGTGATAATTGGATCATTTCGATTTTTGATGTTTGCAAATGTTGTATCTTCCCTTTAAAGGGAATATACAGCATTTGCTTTGCTGCAATTTTCAGAAATGAATGGATTTGGGGCTTGGGATTTTTTTAGTAAATATTGTTACGCTGATTTGTTTGACATTTTGGGTTCGTAGATGCTGGAAAAACCAAGAAAAACAATCGTGTTCTTGTAGTCTGGTTCACTGACCCCACTTAAGATGAAACGAAGCAATTTATAGACGTCGGGAAATTGTAAGGTCGGGAACCAATCTAGCAGGCTTGTACCCGTTCATAGGTGTGTAATCGATTGCAAAGAAAATGCGGACTAACTAAACATGATAAATTGGGAGCAGTATTTAAAAAAAAATCAAGTTTGTTTTCTAACGCTGGTCGGCCGACCATCTCCAATCTCCCAAATTGATACAACTGAAAAAAACTCACTTTTTCTTGAAAATGACAGCACTCCAGGTGTCATGATTTTACAGGATGTCATTCACTAACAGTCCAGTAAGGTATTTCGTAATAATTTAGTAGTTTTTTTTTTTTTTTTATGTTTGCAAATGTTGTATATTCCCATTAAAACCATCGGCGTTTTATTATTCTACACTACAGAACAGTTACATTTGCAAAATCTTAACTGTTCAGGAAAAAAGGACATTTTATTTAATGTCACTGTTACTGTGAAAAAAATGTGTTTGGGAGGCATTTATGTATATTTCCAAACGCGAATAGGCCCTATATCCATTAAAAAAAAAACCCACCAAAGCAATACAATGATCAATGGGTTGTTGTAACAATAATGCCATCTTCGATGCATGACCTAATTGAAACTCATTCATACAATGAGAATGGGGAACATGTAACGTCCAGGGCCAAATCAATTACAATATGAGATAAATATTTGTTCCAAGTCCCACGCACCTGCTCCTCGCGATGAAAATAAAAGTCACTAGTTTGAGGTTGAGGGCGCCCTTTTCTGTTCGCTAGTATTTATATCAGAACTTCACTATTATTATTAAATCAATGATATCACTATGAACTTTCAGGGCCTAGAAATACAGATAGCCGAATTAAGGTGTCGATTTGTAATTTGTTTATTCAGTGTAAAAGTAAATATTTGATTCCCATTTAAATATTGTGAAAAAAACAAAAACCACGGAGCGACGTTACTTGACCTTCAGCCAATGCCTCGCCCTCAATTATGTGATAAACAAGCCACGTATTGAAATGAAATAATGATATCTTTAGCCAAACGCCATAGACATGCTTTTTAAAATGTATGTATATATTAAGGACATAATTTTATTGTTCACTTCTGCTAGTGCCTAGCATCCTTAGACTGTGAGACATTAACGTATAGGGCAGCATAGCGCAGTTAGTACATATCATGATGCACCATTCTCGTCATTGTTTGGTGAATAATTTAAAGAAAACTTGAACTTATCATATCAGTTTCCTTTTTTTAAACTAATTTATTTGTTTAATTACATTCATATATTTATTTTTCAAATATGCGCACGGGTTTCAGCAGCTTCTCGTATTTAAGCCTATAGGCAACCAATTCTGGACAAACTTTCTCTAGCTGACACCGCATGTACAGCATTCGAAAATAAAACTCTGCCCCAAAGTAGCGAAGTGTGGCAGTTCTTACCTTGTGCTTTTTCCATCCTGCGTGTCATATTCCGTGTCTTTCTCCAATTGTCTTGCTGCAAATGGGCCCGAAGATACTTTCACAAACATATATATCCAAGTTCAGACTCCAACAGTCCGATAACTCCATAGCATTGTACGTCTTAAATTCCCATTGAGAACTAGACTACAAACTGTAACTATTCGTGAGCAGACGACAGTCGAGTCTACAGTTTTCCATCTTTCGACACCACAATTCACAATTCTTCGACATTTTAGATCCTCCAAGGTTTTCTATCTTGCAAACCCGACGAGCTTCAGCCAAAATGTCCTCCTCTCGTCCAAGAATAACCGCACAAAACACGGTTTTTGAAGTTGCAACTTGTCAGTTTTGACAAGTCCGTCCGCCATTACTGCACACGTGCGAACATGTCGCAATCACAACGTACGAAAACAAACTGGCGGTTGTGTTCTATTTTTAGAACGCTATGCAAATGACGTCGTGACAGGTGTTGGAACAATACACCGCATTGCTCAGCTTAGGAAACGCGGATATGGTGGCTTTCCATTGGTTGGAAGGAATATATTTCAGGACTACATCTGCGATAAACAATTGCCACGAACAACCCAAAAGAGTCTTTAAAAAAAGAAGAAAAAAAAAAACAATCCCCAAAGATGACTGAATGGAAATAATGCGCGGAAAAGAAATAGTCTAAGATGAAAACGAAGAACAGTTTATTCCGGAGGTTTCTGCACAGTATAAGAAGATGATGATGGGGATGGTACCGCAATTTGTTTTTTTGTTTTTTTGGGGGGGGGGGGATTTGTTTGTGTGTTTAAATTTTTATTTATTTATTTATTTATTTTCTTTTTTGAGGGGGGGGGGGGGCGGAGCATAAACAACAGAGCATCTATTTGTAACATATTCACAATTGTTGTCACCGTGTTTTGAAACAAGTTTATTGCATTTTTTTTTCAACATGGGTATCTACAGATTTCGGCTTGAAATAGTCTTCTCAGTTCCTCAATCACAGAAAATACTTTTCCAATGTAAATGAACGACCTACAACAACTAAAAACAAAATGAAATACCTCAAAAAAGGAAAACCCACAGGTAATACATCTCGCTTAATATGCATGTACGCGTTTAAATATATATATCAACATTTCATCTTTACTGTAAGGGAAATATGTACAGATGGAAATTGAAATTGGACCTTAAAGTTACATATGGAATTAAAATACTCTTAAGACAAGTATTTTGATAACCATGAGCCAAAACCATTGAATGTGTCTTCTCTACTGAGACAATTAGATCCTAGTAATATATTTACAAAACTAACATTACAACTTTCACCCTGTTTTTTCATAATCTCAATTTATATAAGAACATATGGCTGTACAGGCTTTACATTACAGTTTCCACATCATAAACTGTTTGATAAATTGCATTGATAGAGAGATGAACACATTTCTTGAGTTTAAAAGTGGATTGTTAATGTCAACCCAATATTTTTATATTTCTTAAAAATATAACTCTGTTAGGTTAAACATAAAATAGTTCTTCCTATTTTTTTGTTTGTGGCGAGATAGTTGTATATTGCATGGCCATCGTATTGCAACTTGTGGATTGTATGTTAACGATAGTAGCATGCTGAAGAAAACTCGAAAACCAAAATATGGTGTTTTTTCCATATTGTACAGAGAACGAATACTTATGCATAAATACATGTACATAGAAGATTCACACACAGGACATGCAAAAAGTGAACTGTGTACAATTCAAAAATGCAAATTAAGTATGTATTTTTGTTTTAGTGTTACTAGACAGCAAACTTTATCACTTTTTCCTCAAACTTAGTCCTTCATTGTCACTTAACGTTGGGAAATTAGTGGGTTTTTTTTAAATGTCTCATCAATCGGAAGTAATTTTTAGTATGCCATACATATTGATATCATGCGAGTGTAGTTCATAAGAATTATTGAATGATAACACAACATGGAAATACATTTCAAATCAGTTGTTGGTTGCTCTGGGTATACATAAATACTTAATACAAATAACACAGTATTAAAGTTATACAACATTTGCAAACATCAATAAACAGAACTACCAAATTATTATGAAATACCTTACTTGACTGTAAGTAAATAATAGTCTCAAGCATCCTGTGAAATCATGGCACCTGCTGTGCTGTCATTTTCAAGAAAAGTCGACATGTTTGAATCAATTTTCAACGATTGTCGGCCGACCATGGTTGCAAAAAACTGACTTTCCCCAAATTTACCAAATAATTTAGTTAGTCCACATTTGTTTGCGAACGGTTACACATCCGTAAACGGGTTCTCTAACCTGACAATTCCCCGGCGTCTATAAATTGCTAATTTTTGTCTGAAGTACATGTCAGGGAACCAGACAACAAGAAAATCTTTTTTTCTTCTTGGTTTTTCCAGCATGTATGAACACAAACTTTAAAAAGGTCAGTGTAACAATATTTGCTATAAAATACTAACCCCCAAATCCATCCATTTCTGAAAATTACAGCAAAAGCAAATGTTGTATACCTTTCAGGAAGACTTGACATTGGTTTCTGTTTTACATATGTACAATTAACTTGAATAATATAAGCCCACAGGATACACAAACACCAACACCCACAGGACAAACACCTACAGGGAGGCAAATAAAAAGTAAACTAATCCATAAATTCAAAAAAAAAAAGGAAAACAAAGTAATTAGAAGACAAAATACATCTGGTTTAAAAGATCTAAATTTAACAATAATCAGGAAAAACTGCTGTAAATACTTGCACCGTAGAAGTAATATTTGAGAGACAATCAATTCATCTTCAGAATTGAAATAGCACTGGTACGCATCAGAGAGAAAAAGAGAAGTACAGTTTTTGTACCCTGCATTGATAGTGCACTCGAATTCTGCTGCTCTCTACAAAAATAGACCTTCTTCTTCAAATACCTCTAGAGATAATGGCAGATGTAGGCATCTAAGTAAGAGACAAATACCTTGCATTGACAGTGCATTTTGAGTCTGCTGCTCTCTATAAAAATAGACCCTCTTGAAATACTTATAATACAGCTGACCGACCCTTGGTAAACATCTGCACTAAAAACAAAGTTAAAGGGTATTTCAAAATATAGTTAAGGGTACATGTATTTCAAAATAAAGAATTTTCTTTCCAAGTAATGCAAGAAAAGCAACTTTAAAAGTAAAGTAAAAGGGGGCATTTCAAGAGGACTATAGGGGAGGACACTCCCAAACCTCCCCCCCCCCCCACCCACCGCCAAAGTTACAGCCCTCCCACATTTTCTCTTTTATTAATTTGGGAATTTCATCAGATTTTATACTACAGCAAATTACCCAATTATTGAAAATTTTACATTAAACAAAAGGCTAGGCCTATACAGTTCATAAAGAATTCTGCACTGCAAACCACTAACGGACAACTATTAAGTCATGGGCTACCCTGTTAATTAGTTTTTTTTGTTTTTAGGGGGGCTGACTTTTGTCCGTCATGTAAATTTGCAAAGCAAATTTCACAGATAGTTTCATGGAAATCCTAAGCAGAGAAACTTGCCCCACGCTGCTAAGCACAACAATTTGCTTAGCACAAAACAAGTCTGGCTTATAAAAGCCAGTATCAGCCAAAACTCCATGTGATTTTCATGCTAACCAAACAACAGCTGAATACTAATCATGTGCAATATACATCACGTGGAGTTTTGGCTGGTAACCTGCTTCTATAAGCCAGGCTTTTCTTGTGCTAAGCAAATGTTTGTGCTTAGCAGCGCCGTGAAATTGGCCCCAGGTGTCACCTAATTCTGAAAGTCTCATAAACAAACAGGCAACTTTGGGAGCATTTGTAGTTCTTGGTTGGTTGATCTTTGCTTACCCAAACCAAAGTAACAGCCAAAATGTCATGGGATGTCTTTCGGCTGGTTCACAGCTGATCTTCACTGAGCAAACATATGCGTTTTTCTGCTAAGGAGAACCATTAAATACACCAAGATTTGGAGATCTAAGAGTTGTTAGTTACTATTGTTGAGTTTCACCTATGGCTGTGTCCATAAGAAGCATTTCTGGCTATGGCAATGGCACGCAATCACCCGCACTTGCACTCAAAGGAATGCAAGGGCCCGTACAATTGTGAGCGGTACGGGGTTGCTCGCAAGTGCACGGGCCCTTGCGTTCCCTTGAGGCACGGGGTTGCTCAAAAGTGCATGGGGGCGCATGTGTGTGCCCGGGGGCGCCAACAAATCGGAATTAGTCCACGGTCCCTTAGACGTTTGATTCGGCTTCCTTGTATAGTTTCCTGACTTCGTCTGGGTTGGCAGCATGGTTGTCCTCAGGCAGCACAGGGAAACCCGCCTCCTTGCGGTGAGAGTCCAGCGCTGGTCCCCATTCTTTGGTTGGGCGCAGCGACTTTCTCAGGCGCTGAGGGGATAAAAAAAAATCAATTAACAATCAACTCTAATGGCTTGAATTGTACAATGGGTGCTCAGTTCCAAAAACTTACATGGTCACCTCGGGTGGGATTCGAACCCGCTATCTTGTAGTGCAGATGCTTTACAACTCAACAATACTGTACTGGGCGATTCTCAATACAGTGCGCCACTAAGAGGTGTACCATTGAGAGTCCATTTTTCGCAGTGCATTTTGGGAGGCGTTCGACACAATCACAGCGCAGGACACTTAAAATTGTTAGTTTGTCCAGTCGGTAGTTTTGTATGATTCAAGTATGTTTTTTTAAATTTTTTTTAATCAAAATGGTGTTTTTTACACGGCAGAATGCTATCCCCTGATCTATCAAACATTTCCTCAAGTTGTCTACTGACATTGTTCAAATCGTGGCAAGTCATTCATGTTTTTGAAAAATGGGATCTCCTTGAAAAATGGACTCTCCGTGGCAACCTGTTGGTGATACCTACATTGGGAATCGCCCATTGAGCTTGCAAGCATCAACTGCTGGTTCAAAACCAATACAGCACTATAGGTACTAAAAGCACCATCAAGAACATTTTGATACACCCTATTAGCGAGCCTAGTATTGTCTTTGACTGCTTGACTAGTCATGCCTAGTCTTGATAATGTAGAAATGTATGGTACATTGAGTAGGCTTACCTCCATAAAGGTTCCTTCCTGTTTCAGAAGGTAGTAAATCGGGTAAACCACAATGGGTAGTATTGAAGCTAGGGTCATCAGCCAACCAAGGCACTCGGCCCAAACAGGGTACAAATAGACCTTGTTGTACGTCATGCGCGAGTATCCCACAAAGGTGAAAATGATGATGAACTGCGAACAGAGCAATATAAAAATCGGAAAGGTATTATTAGAATTGGCCAGGGCATCTAGATAATTAAAACATGCATAGATTTTGAGTTTTTTCCCCACAAGGAAACCCACTTATTTGGTCTCATTTGATCAAATTAACCAAAAGTCGAAACTGACTAGGTTGACTTTTATTCAGTTTTTCGGTTGACCAGGGAATATTTTTACCAACAATGGATTCCAACCTCTTGAATATTGAAATCGTCACCGTTTTCACAAAAGGGCGAATTTCATGAAAATCGTCTGTTTTTCGAAATTTGTTGTTTTTTTGGTGAAAATGAATAAAGATATCAATATCTACAACCTGGTGAGGCTATACTTTCAAAAAATTAATACAAATCTTAATTAACCTAATTAACGAATGGGCGAATTTGCCAAAAGTGCCGTTTTGCGTTTTCACGAAGAGGCGAATTTCCGCACTCTATGGTATTGATAAATTTTCAGTAAATAAATACATTGTAATACAATAGCGCGTATATCACGAAAGGGCGAATTCCATGCGCGTGCAATAAAACGTTTTCACGAAGGGGCGAATTTCAAGGCGCATGCGCAGTGGGGCAGAATCTGCGCGTACTGTACAAAAAATGCATTGACTCAGCCCGCAGTAGGGCGAAATCTGCGTGTAGGCACTTAAGCGTTTTCACGAAGGGGCGAATTTGCTAAATGGTCTTCTTTTTCGTTTTCACGAACAGCCACTTCTCTTAATTGATTAATTCTGCAAAATTAATCACCTATTTTTCTTAAAGTTTGCTACATTTAGGAAGATTAGAAGCTCTTCTTTCCTCTGATACCTAAATCTTGCATATTTTATGCATCTTTAAGTTTCAAATTGTCAAATGAAAAAAGGACCAACTTTAAACGCGATTATCTCGAATGTTTGTTCAGACAGTGAAATACTAAATTCGCCTCTTGAAATGAAAACGGTGACGAAATGCTGCTTTTATCTATGATGTACACAATCCTCGCAAAAACATAGACAGCTTGGGATTCTACCAACAAAGGGTTGGATAGCTTAGTTGGCAGTGTTGTAGTAAGTGTTCATTACAAGTCCAACACAAGTCATGTAGTTCTTAGTCAAGTCTCAAGCTATTCAAATGAATTGTGACAAGGGAATTCCTTCATTACTGTTCATCCCCTCCCGACAAGACTGGTAAATTGACCTGTGATTTACTTGTGACGGACTTGAGTGCAACCGTTTTTAGCTTTTGTTTTCCAGACTCACCGTCAAGAAAGCTGGAGACACAAGCTTCCAGCAGGCTTTCCAATAAAAACCAGGACGGAAGCCTAACATGACATTCAGATCGTCCAGAAAGCGGTCCGCACCTGAAAGAAGAGAAAACAGCTTTGTGTTTAGAACAAATGGAACTGTACTGAATGGTTGGCTGAAGTTAGAAAAATATTATAATACAATGTCATACATGTTATTGCTTTCATGACTTGCACTCATACTACCTACAAGTATTACTTTTTTTCTAAATACTTACCATACACGTAAGCGATCACAAAGCATTCCAGCATTGCAATGATCAAGACCGATAGACCAGCAGAGAATGCGTTCATGATGGTCAGCAGATAAATTCCTCCCTGTGTCACAAAACAGACAAAAGATACCTTTCAGTTTTCTCCCTTTCGCCAAAAAATGTACGTCCGTCACAGCATTGGTTTTCGCATCTATTATGAGTTGACATGGTTGAGTCTTGCAAGAAAAATTACCACGGCAATACAAACTACGCCTTAATTGTGCTTGTCTTCTTATCGTGGTGAAGTCATCAAATTTCATCAGGTCTTCCGAAATTCACAAGTTATTCATTCTTAAGTCCACTGACAAGCTATTTAAATGACACTGGGACAATGACGTCGCCTTTGCTATGTGCATTCCCAATTGCTATATGTTTTTACCAGTGATTAACTCTTGATTTGACTTGCGACTGACTAATGGTCTTGTGATTTCGCCTGCGCAGGACCTATTTGAACTAGAGAGGGCAGGCCTGCAACACATTCTTTTTAAAGGAAAAAATGAAAAGTACAGTAGTTTTGGCCAGGCTGCAGCCTAAAGAAGTGACATTGTTAACATCCAAGCTTGTTACTTACACTGGTAACCATAGTCAGTCCAAGTAGATACATCACTACAGCCATTGCCAAAGTGACCAGCCATTTCTTCTTACGGAAGACTGTGTTGAATTTCTCCAGTTCGTCCACCATTCCAGTAATGACAGTCTCAAACATGCAGAACTGAATTTTTTTTACAAAACAAAAGAAAAAATACTAAGTAATTTTAAACACTGATAATTATTAAGAACATTAAAGCTGACCAAAATTTTTCAATTGTTTTAATCACACTTTGTTTTTTTGATCTATATATTTTTTGACCTTTTTTCCACAGAGATGTTGTTACGTACTCACAAGTTGGTCACAAGTTGAACAGTCTCATCAAGTCAAGTCGCAGGCTATCATGAAGTGTGACAAAGGCATTGCTTTGTCATTCAACCCATTACTTGTGACCTGGTGATTGACATGTGATTGACTTGCGATTGACATGTGATTGACATGTGATTGACTTGTGATTGACATGTGATTGACTTGTGATTGACATGTGATTGACTTGTGATTGACTTGTGATTGACTTGTGATTGACCTGTGATTGACTTGTGATTGACTTGTGATTGTCATGTGATTGTCATGTGATTGACTTGTGATTGACTTGTGATTGAGTTGTGACTGACTTGTAACTGGATTTGTGATTAGAGTTGTGATTGTGACTGGACTTGTGTTTGAGTTGTGATTGTCTTGTGATTGACTTTTGATTCGACTTGATTGTAATGAACTTGTGATTTGAGTTTTGAATCGACTTGTACGTCACTGGACTTGTACTTTAACTTGTGATTTGACTGATGCTGAACTTGACTACAACTTAACGACTGCTTACCTCGCTTCCTATTCCCAGCATCAAGATCATGATAAAGAAGAGCAATGCCCAGAGGGTGGATAGCGGCATGCGTGCTATGGCTTCAGGATAGGCAATAAATGCAAGACCTGGCCCTGTGGAACAAGAACAGCAAATGTATATCAAGGCTCTGATACATGAATTGTCCCAGATGTGAGAATATTTACTTTCAATAATGATTTTACTGATAGTTACACTGATTTATCCAGGCCAAAATGTAACTGGTTTCATCAACCAAAGCAAAAGGATAAACATTCCCTAAACTATAAGTCTTCCCAAGTTAAGGTCAAATGTCCAATGGGTTTCACACATACACCTGTTTGATTCAGTGATGGCAGAAAAGCTTCCAAGTTAAAAAAAAGTCCCACTTGGTTGATCCCAAACTGAAGAGAATAACATACAGTACTCTGCAGCCCCGCCCTCCCCCCCCCCCCCCCAAGAAAAAGAAAACCTTTCTGGAACTTTCTACAATTGGGTGCATTTCATCACGCGCTTACCAGAGGCCACAACCTTCTCCACACTGACTCCCGCATCGTTGGCCATGAAGCCGATGACAGAGAAGATGACAAAACCAGCAAAGACACTGGTGCCACAGTTGATGAAAGTCACAATGATGGCATCCCTACAGAATGATTAAAAAACAAAGAACAAACAAATTACATTGTTAAAGATGACAAATTTAGCACTTGCTAAAAGTCACTATGTTGGCATCCCTACATAATGATTAAAAAATGAAGAACAAACAAGTTACATTGTTAAAGATGACAAATTTAGCACTTGATGAAAGTCACTATGATGGCATCCCTACATAATGATTTAAAAACGAAGAACAAACAAGTTACATTGTTAAAGATGACAAATTTAGCACTTGATGAAAGTCACTATGTTGGCATCCCTACAGCATGATTAAAAAACAATGAACAACAATTACTGAGTTAAAATCAACAAATATAGCAATTGATAAAAAGTCAGGATGATGGTGTCTTGATGGAAAGTATCAAGCAACAAAGAATGAAATAATACACTATAAAGTTTACATCCACCAGAACTTGATGGGTAGTTGATGCAAGAAATAACGATGGATATCTGCAGAAGATTCCAAGGAAATAGAATGACAAATAAAGCATACAGTTTATCAATTAAACACAGTGCAAGTTGTGTCTCATCACCTGTAGCAATTGTTGTGGAATTTGTTGTAGCTTGCCAGAGTATGCAGGCTTCCAAAGGCTGTGCCAAGAGAGTAGAAAATCTGAACTGCCGCATCCTGCCACACCTAAAAAAGTACAACAAACAAATGTAAAAACATATTCATCACATACAACTTGTCAAGAATTACAGTAATAGACTAGAAATGTGTTTGTGGACAAACACAAGCTGTTTCGGTTATTTGAAATACTCTGTGCACGTGATGAACACTTGATGAAGTTACTTCGAATGTCATCTGCCAAGTGAAAAGGCAATCAGATATATAGTGCCAAAGTATATAGAAAAACGTGTACAAAACCTATGGGGAAAAATGCATCTTTAATGTGAAGTAACCTTACACCTGATGATGTCACGATCACGAATTTCTTCTAGGACCATCTGTAGGTGGTAGTCTAAGTGTGTACCAAGTCGAACGTCAATCGTATTTACGAAAGTGCCAAAGTAGAATGTTTTAAAACGTGTACAAACCCTATGGGGAAAAATGCATCTTTAATGTGACGTAACCCAACACCTGATGACGTCACGGTCACGCATTTCTTCTAGGACCATCTGTGGGTGGTGGTCTAAGTGTGTATCAAGTCTGAGGTCGATCGGATTTACGAAGATCCCATACAACTTGTCAAGCATTACAGTAATAGATTATTAACAAAAGATTTCCCATCCCCCGTGGCCCATCCTTATGTAAGGGTGCTGATGATCGTTTCAAGATTTTGTAAAGGAAATCGTATTAAGCCCTTTCGCATGTGTCATGTGAACACAGACCCTGCTGGTTCAGAAACAAATCTGTCTAGAGAAAGCTTAAAGAAATAACAAGTCATCTGCGCCTTGGACAGGGCAGCAGACACGCACAAACACAATTAACCCGTGGAACTTAAATATCCCTGCCTTTCCACAACAAGAAATCGTCAATATTTTACAACATACTTTTGCATGTTTCAGTCTCTCTAGGTCAGGCTTGATGTAATAAATGATGCCATCAATAGCCCCCTCTAGCGTTACTCCACGGATCAGCAGGCAGAGTAGGACAAAATAGGGAAAGATTGAAGTCACGTACACCACCTAGAGAAAGAACGACAACAATGAAAGAAATCTTTATTAATGTGAAACTCGGTGCTATTAAGAAATCTCAATCACAACACAATTAAGCAATCACAAGTCAACAGGCCACAAGTAACAGGAGTGACAAAGAAATGCTTGCATGACAGCTCATGAGTCATTTAATTTGATATTGGATGACTTAATTTTGAGATTGACTCGCAGAAACCCAGCGTCTGAGCGAGAGACAAGTCAAATCTCATTCAACTCGTACAGATCTCATACAGACCATAAAGCAGCCTCCGTTCAGCCACAACACTGTGTGCTGATTGCTCCACAGACACAGTCACTCATGGGAAGGGGATCATTCATTTTCACACGCCACTTCCAAGCTGAGGCACAATCTTGCAATTCGGGCGATTAACAATGCAGTGCGCAACCAACAGTTTGCCATGGAGAGTACATTTTTCAAGTTTACGGTTGACAAAACATTGGCCATTGAATGAGTGTCATCATCAGTAGACAACTCGAATATGTTATAGATTGGGGCATAGCGTTCTGCCGCCTTACAAAAAAAACACCATATTGCTAAAAAGAAAAGGGCAAACAGATCCTCGAATCACACACATATGAAACTACTAACTGGCAAAACTAACAAATTCAGATGTCCCACGCTGCGAATTGTCGACCATCTCCCACCATGTACTGGGAAAATAAACTCTCCGTGGCAAACTCTTGGTGGTGCACTGCACTGTGAATTGCCCAGATTGAATCACGCTAATGTTCTTCATTTCAGTCTTCATTGTCTCTATTTATCATTCAGTAGATTACACAATACTTTGGTGGTTTTATTATGTAGAATGCACCATGAGCTTACTTGGCCAATACCAGCACCAGGTTTTTATCATTGTTACAATGTATCATTAAGTGCAAGGCAGGCAATAATACTCGTCCAGTGCTGACACTCTTTTTTCATTTTCACCATTGAGGGGGCAAAAGTTCACAGAGAAGGCAGCTGTTTCTCAAAGAATCTAAAAAGGCCTTTGCAACAGGTACAATATTTATGCTAGTGCTGACTTTCTGTTCCTTGGGGAAAGATGACAAATGTATCCAGCTTACTTTTCCAGATGTCTTGATGCCCTTGACCAGACTAAGAAAGACAAGGACCCATGCTAGCAGCAAACACAGGGCAAGATCCCACTTGACTGGTCCCATAATATGCATGCCGTCTGACATACCTAGGACATATTTACTGTGGATAAAAAAGAGAGACGGGCTGATGACATGGATTCTATTAAACTTCCTCCAGAAGTTTAGGTGGAGAATGAGCTAAGATGACATTGCACATACTATTTAAATATTTGTAGATTTTTTCTAACCCAGGTGGGCGTTACTTTAATTTGCTCCTTGTAAACGTAACACAAAGCCTCATTAATTATTCACTGGCAAAAGAACTGCCCAAGTTATTTCATTGTTTCTAGACAAAAGGACTACCAATTATTTTATTTCTTTTTTGGCAAAGTTTGTCACAAAATGAATTCTTGAATTATCATTTAATTTGGCACCCCACAAATTGGTGACCCAGATGCGATACAAGTACGCAACCTTCTGATAAAGAAGCCTTATTTTTAAAAGAAGTTTCCAAACTAATTTTTTTTAGGCAAACACTTCTTCATTAAAGAAATAGATCTATAGACACATGGTGTCCGTATGAAAACCTCATTTTCGAAGCAACGCTTCAAATTACACTTAACATAATGCTAGTTTTCTGTTTACTACTGAAGAGTGAAACTGAATTATTAAATCATCACCTTGATGCCCAAACAGATTCAACCAAATTCAACCATGAAATGGTTTCAAATTTAACAAGATACTTACTTGAAGAACTCCTGACTGGGGCGGACAGCATGCGTATTATTTTCATAAGTCCCATTCACTGTCATGTTGTTGTCTTTGTCAAAGATTGTACAGTTGTCAGTGTTCCACTCATTCCCGCAGGTTCTCCACGGAACATCGCTGGTGAAGGAGGCAAAGAAGTAGAAGAGTGCGTATGCGATGATGACATTGTAGTACAAGGTGACTAGGGCACACACGATCAACATGCCAAAGCCAAGTCCTACAAATAAACAACACGGGAAAAAATTGGAACGTCAGCTATTTTTCCTTAGTATTTTATCACTCCAGTTTTTATGTTGATGAAACTCACACCCTAGGATGCAGCCGAATACACCAACACAATTTCAGAAGACACCATAACACACAAGTTTGAGCTAGAGGGCATAAGAATATTTATACTGGCAGAATCTGTCAGTGTTGGAGTACTTGTACTCGTACTCGAGTACAACTCGAGTATACACAAGTACTCGGCCCGTACTCGACTATATATCAGGACTCGAACAAACAATTGGACTTGGCCTGTACTCAATTCTTCGTACTCAAATTTTGCGTGGACTAGACAGTTTGGTACTCGGACTCGTCACAGTGTACTTGGACTCAGCCCTGGACTCGGCTCCTAAAGTACTCAGAGGACTCGGTACTCAACTTTGAGGACTCGACTCCAACACTGGAAACCGTACAAAGCATTAGGTCTAAGTTTTATAATTTTGTATATACCGGGTATTTCAGGTTAATCAAGTCAGCATATGTGCAGTATCTTTTTATTTCTAAGTAAAAAAAAAAGGATCAAAAGAAGAAACGACACTAGGAAAAGGAAAATGCAAAACAACACCGTCAAGAAAATATCTGATCTACAGGTAAATAAACCAGGAAAGACTGTTTGAAAACGAATCCCTTGTTTCATGGGTATCATTACAAATCCATGTTGAGCCTTGACCAAGAGAATAACAGGATGAAGAAGACAAATAAAAGGAAGAAAACCATGGTAACATGCACTGACGCACTGCTATCGACAGAGGAGAGCAAGCTGAGGATGTTAGCATCAAGGAGGAAATTAACAGAAATAGTGTGAAAAACAAAATCATTGACTCCTGTTTTCATGACATTCAGACAATATAATGACATTTAAATCCTTGTCTGGGATAACATTTTAACAATAATCTCAAGCATGTAAAGGCTATATCAAAACAATATCATAAAACCTTGTACGTGCGAAAGCTATCTCTTATTCAGCATAAACTTCTTACACGGATCTGTTTTTAGAGAAAGCATTGACATTTCATGTAGGGCCTACACATCCTATTTGTGCAATTCAGAGCCAACACATTTAAGCAGTCGTAGGCTTACAAAACACCCCCATCCTTCCATGAAAGGCTTTTCTGTATCAAATTTCATAAATAATATTTTCATGTTTGTAGTTGAGTTGAAGAATAATGTCACTTTATTCAGCTCACAATTTTAAAAACAAAGTGACTCTATCCAAATGGCATGATATGAGTTACTCCACTTTTTTTCTGGTATATATTGAGAAATTAAAAATGCATTTATTCTTACTCCTTCCCCACCCCCACAACTTCTAGATATCCTTTGATGCATGTAGCCTCAGATCTTACTAGCCTTACCAGCACAAATTGAAGAGCAACATGTTTTGAACGAAGAACGACGTACAATGTGTTTCGTCAATGTATTGTTTATCTCTATTTATTAATTTTATTAGTAAGATCTACAGAGAAACATGTACCCACAGACTTATCATTGAACTCAAAAGGACACTTTTGTTATTCTGGTTTCTGTAATTCACCACGGTTTTGCCATTTTTAACCTACTCGGTCAGTATGATAGGATTTATGAGTAAGACAGGGACTTTGGCTAGTAATATGATTTACTGAATTTGTCCTTGAAATTGCAAACCAATGCTGTGAACCTCCATTGATCAGAACACACTAATGCCCAAAACATATCAAGAAAAAAAAAAACAATTCCATTCTGTTTCAGAGTATCAAACTTCAAAGAGTAGGCTATTCTAACAAACTGCCAATGAGCAAGTATCACAGAAGCCCTATTCTGAATCAAAAATTTGCACTGTGACACTTTATGTTGTAAGTTTACTTTCCCAAGCCTAATTGGAGCCCCAATTTGTCAGAAAGGTTAAGAAAAGATTTCCTTCCAGTTCATGTAATCCGGACACAATACCGGCTTAGACCCCAGACACTCTTAAATGACCAAGTTTTTGCAGCACAAAAGCAGAACACCTTTGAGCAAATTTGACTACCCTTCCACGCCTTGGTGACCATCTCTATGTACCTTCAGCGGATCAATTCATTGCTCCTAGACACTACAAACTGGCCTGGCCATTTCTTAGAACAACTTCTTGATGCATTGCTCAGGTATAGTGGGTGCCGTCTTCCTTTTGAACAGACCAAAAAAACAAGGACAGAGGAAGCTGCTTTCGGCAAGATTTGGAACCACTTTATTATTACGACCTCAATGCTCACCGGGACACTTTGGGATGTAAATGAATGTAGTTTCACAACGGTGGATTTTTCTTTCATTTTGAAGGGAATAATTATGCTCAATCCCCTTTAGAAGTCTCCTGTGTAGCCACATACATTTTACTCTTTTCTTTAGGATATCAGAAAGACAGTGTATATTGTAATGTACGACAGGTCAGTTTTCTGCCAGCTTTCAAATATTTGAAAACAGTACATGTACCGTATATCAGGTCTTTTCATGTACAAATGTACTAATGGTCCTCTTCGTCAAATATTTTCCTCGTTTTGTACCACTATACATAAAACTCACCATCACATTACTAGGTCACATAGCAATCTCGTGACCTAATTTATTGACTAACTAAGTCACCGAGTACAAATGTCCTAAATATACGTGTCCAACTCAACCAGACAAGTCTAATCGTGGTTTTTCAATACAAGTGAGACACTATAAGTATACATGTATTCACAAAATTGGAAGAAAGCTTGAATGTACCTTTGAAGATTGGTGAAATTGCCCAAATGCTGAGGCATCCCTGGCTGGCAAACTGGCCAAAACTCAGCTCCAGGAAGAACAAGGGCAGGCCAGCCATGAATATCATCAGGATATAGGGGATCAGAAATGCACCTAATGAAAACAACCAAATTGAACCCTTATGGAATGACACGGAAAAAAAAACCAATTTCACATGATTTTTAGTACGGGTATTCTTTATTATTCCTGTATTTCATACACAATTCTGTTTGTCCTGCAAGGCAAATTACAACGAAGATCCAAGGTAAAAATGAGGGTAGGCTTAAGTGGATTAAGGAAACCAGTAACACTAATCGATTTAATTACAAACCGAACAAAGCTGGTATGCCAGACAAATTTAATAATTAAATGGGTCTGTCCTCTAATTTTAATGAATGATCACATGCGCGTGTTGATTCACGAGTGTGTATGGTGCAGCGTCACAAAGTTGTTCAACAAAGTGCATAAGCCCAAGAGTCTTCGCAGGAAAGAAACGCACCTGAGCTGAGCACATCCCTTCAATTATATATGCTTTGCATTTTCATCGCTGCGGGCAAATTTAAGATTGCAGTCTAAGGGCAAAATAATTTAGCCTTCTGAGAAATGACAAAAAATATCTTACCCCCGCCGTTCTCGAAGCAGAGAAACGGAAATCTCCAGACGTTCCCCAGTCCGACGGCAAAGCTGACACAGGATAAAAGGAAGTCCAATTTCCCACTCCAGTTGCCTCGGGCTTCATTCTCATCCCCTTTGCCCTGGGCAGGTTTGATGCCGTTTTGAAGTTCGCTGTCGTTGAGTTGCATCATGTACTTGCCCCCATCTGGTGGTGCTACTACCCCACCATGTGTCTCAGTCATTGTCCCCTCAGCGACACTAAAAGGAAAAGAAAGGGAAATGATGTTGCTTAAAATCAGTCCTCCTAGAGATGCCAAAGTGTTACAAAGTCACTGCCGTGAGTTGCACAAAGGAACATCTTGCCTGGATGGTTACCAAGCGATGTTACGGTCGATTGGCAATGTGATTAGTGCATCATCAAAAGGAAAAGCAAACACATTAAAGACAAATTACAAGAAAGTAAATATAGATTTTACGACAGGATGTACACGTATAGTTCCCCAAGACATTTAAGATGGCATCACTTTTAGAGATGGTTCATGGCCCTCTATACAGACACAATTTGTTTCACTTGCAAACATTGCTAATATGTCATTTCTTATAACATACTTAAGTCCTGATATTATTATTTTAATGTGTTCCCCAGAAGTGTCATAAATAGGTGGGCGGGTCCCAGCTAATGAAAAGAGGAACCTAAATTACGTCTGTATGATCACTGCCGACTTTAACTTCATTTGATTATAGTTTTTTGGAGTAAAGGTAAGGCCACAACATCATTGACTTGACAAGCAAAGACAGCATTCCAGGCAGTTGAACTTAAAGCTTTCTCTTATCTGCCCTCAACAATGCCAACCTCAACATTTTGACCAGCTGTTCAGTCTGGCCTCCCCTTCCACTTGGCCCTACTTCCCTCCAAAACACAGGCAAGATCTGAAGGTCATTCGAGAGTGAAATTTGCCAAATGACCTAACCCCTGCCTTATCCAGGGATTACACAATCCACAGAAATGATAATTAAAGACCTTGAGATTCGTCCACCAACTTTATTGCAAACTCATTCATGAGGGTTTGGTTTGACTGTAGTTTCTGTTTTAGAAAGTAATAAATACATTGGTACTTCCATTTCCCCGGACTCAAAACAACCAAAACTTCCTGGCAAAGTTCCATTCTTGACCACACAAATATTTTAGGTCAGACGTTGAGTCAAAAGTGACAAAAGTGACGTAAGTTGGAAGCACATGACATGGGTTTCAATATACATGTACATGTTCTGACTCGTGCTCGTCTTGTCGTGCCAACAAATAATTATTTTCGCATTCCCAACAATTTCTTCAACGCCAGCTCATGCATATTTGGCACATTGCCTTGCCAGCGTCAAGTCGCTCACTTGAATGTCATGAATATCTCAAGTGTCTTCTGCGGTTACTGAAGATGCTTCACCCTAAATCAGCCAAAAGCATTTTTGCTTCTTCTTCAATTGTGCTTAATATTCTCAGATGAATTTTATAAGACTACCGGCTTGTATCCCATAGGCATGCATTTGAAAATGAAATGAGAATACTTTATCTATTCCTTGGTTAACGATTTATTTAACATTTATACTATTTCCTCAATAAAATGAACCGCAAGACCTTTTACCAAGAAAACCTTCTGGTGAAATTTGGTAACTCTTTCATCCAAGTGGGTGCTATCTACTATAGCCATATACGTGTATGTATGTACTCCCACTACATTCCACACCTCTGCAGACAGCTCCACAATATTTACCATCTTTAACCTTTCATTCTAAAGTAAAAGAAGCACAAGCTATGTTGACTGTCGGCCCTGACGCATGTTGGTATTGATTGTCACACTGCAATGTTGACATTTCTCCTTTTTTTTCATTCACTGGCAGTTTGCCAAAAGGATGCAATTTTAGCATAATGAGTGTTCTCGATGTACACACGTACGCATCGGTACAATTTTTCACGTGCGTTCTGTAGTATTGACGTCATCACGTTTGTTGATACAATAGAGGCGTGGTGGGGGCTTGTCTTGAAGACGCAACCATTTTACACAACAGGGGTGGCAGGTATGATACTGCAAATTATTGTAAACATAAACACGCTGTATTAAAATTGCCTTTCTAAAGCCAGTCTGCAAATTTAAAAATTCAATCGTACTATATCTGATGTCCAATGATAACCAGATGGCATACAGTTTTGAAAAATGATACTTACAGGTCTAATGAGCTTTTGAACCCATTCACAAAATAGTTCATCGTAAAGGTATTCTTATAATATCTTACCATATGCTATACGCAAAGAATATCAAACATGTTTGTTATTCCTTATGGTTTATTTCATTAAAACAAACTCAATTAAAAATAGGTTTTCGAAGTTCGTACCAAAGGTCAACATCACTTTAAATCGTTTTCTAAAAGTGTCTCGCACATAATAATGTCTTTAAAAATAATTCCTAAGCAATACTGAAATAATCTTAACTTGTTGGATGAATACTTTGGATGAAAATTTGGTCACAAGAAATTCACGTTCTAAGTTCAATTCGATAACACAGTGGCATGTTCAAAACTGCATTTTATCATTAAAAAAAAATCAGAATTGACTGTTGCTAAGGAACTGAAGTGTCGTCTACTTCCTCTTAGATAAGATAAGCTTTACTGAATGTAATCAATAATTGATCAAACAATTCAAAGAAAAGAGACACAATAACGACGTGGTATACTGTTTGCAACATCTGTCTCGTTTTTGGTATAAATATGCAGTGTAGACAAGTATGGGCGGGAACAGTATTGAGGTCAAAATACGGTCAGACTAAATATTACTGTAGCACATCAGTACAGGACTTGCGCACACAAACTTGGCACAGATCCAATGCAATTGACGAGAAAATCTCCGGCATTTTCGTCTGGCCAGAGACCGCGAGAATATTATATCAACGCCAAAACCCCGTCTAAACATCACTTATCGATTTTTGCATAACGAAATAGAAAAAAGCAAACTGGGAAATCAATATTTGTCTAAACATAATATTTAACTTTGTATAAAACATTTCCAAAGTGTCCGAGGATTTCAGCGAAACTGCATTTTTTTATTCACATACGAAATAAATGACTACCATTACGCCAATATTCTGATACAGGTATTCCAAGAGCTTTACGAATGAACCGTTTTCGATTTCAACACATCGATTTTCCTGATAAGTCAGTGGCGTTGAAAAGTTTTTTTTGTTTCACTCAGTGGCTTTCTTCACTCATTACTCGAAACCAGAGTCCAGACATCTTGATCAATGTAAATACACTGTCCATGGAAAACGTGTCAAAGCGAATGTCCACACTCGTACTCCACAGTTTGCAGCAAGACACGGCCCATGTGCGTGATTGACCTCAAAAGACACTTCACTATCGTACCCGTACCCCCACCCCCGCCCTGCATGGCGGGGGGTACGAGCAAAGAATGGCATTAAGACACGCGCATGTGGAACGTGCTGGTAGGGTATGAAGTAGTTACGAACTAGCTACATGTACGGTCGGATGATTGCATCAGCTTCAAAATAATGCACACTTAATTGCGAAAAGAAATTCAGTAACAAGTCTGTTATTTTCGACGGCATCTTATCCGAGAAAAAGTGATCACTCTTTCACAGATCACTCTTTCACACGGCGGAATGATATTTGGAAGACGGGTGTTAATCGTTAACACACAAAAAACAATGTCCCCCTCAAATTACCAGACACAAAATGTACCAGAGACAGTACTGGAGATTCAACACGGAGCATGAATTAAGAGTCACCTTGGGGACGAATTTCCGCTTCCACAATCACACATTATTTCGTGGTCTATTTTTTAAGTTGGTCACAAAACAAGACCCTTGTTTTGAACCATCAGGCCGCCCACAATTACTTGATGGTTTCCTTCCAGACGAAGGGTCAAAAGTTCAAGACTCGTAGGAACCCGAATACTTCTAACACTCGCAGCGGGACTCTACACCCAACCACATGGCGTCGACAGAACAAAACTACTGAAGGATTTCTTGGGACATATTCACAAAAATGCAAAGTCTGCAAAATTTTCAGACTAATACGAACGCCATATGTGTTATGATATTGGTCATCACAGCAGGGTTGGATTTGTCTAGAAAAGCAAAGCTTGACAAAAAAACCTGAACTCTGGAAAGCTATAGTAAAATAATCAAGCTTAACCTAATCGACAGTGCCTTCCTTGCTGGAAGATAATATTGTTGCATATAATTCCGGAAATTAACTTCACATGCCACACGTAATCAATTCATTTAATCAACTTATGGTAATTGCAAGGTGAATTTTTTTTTTTAAGTAGTGTACGTCGTTTCAGTTTTGTCAATACACGATATTCGATAACCTTGGTTTTACCCTGATCTCTTCAACAAAGGGCCTGTACGTTATCCACACCTGGGAATTATTGACGATTTCATTGATCATATAATGAAACTAATGGAAAAATAGGGCTATTAATATTATGAATGCCTTCTTTTTAACACCCTACGCATTTGATGTGGGCAGAAAAATTGCGAAGTTTATTGATCAGCAACATTTACAGTTTAATGTTTTCAAGGTATTTTCGTGCTCATCCTGGATTAAAGAACAAATAGGCCTACTTCAAAAATGTATTCCTCATAAAGAATAACTACCACTATTAATTTGTGACGGCCTTTATCAATTATTAAAGAATTCATGTAGGCTACATGTATATTGGCACAATATTTTTTGTCAATATGGCATTTTTCTCAATGTGATTTTTCCGGTTTATTTGGTATGTTTTTCCAATGCACTTCGCTCCTTTTCAGTGGTTCCGCCGGGGAAAAATCGTGCCGGTTTTATAACAAACAACTCTTTGGTGACAACTTTAAATCCTTAAAAGATATGAGCAACAAACAATAAGGCAGTGAAAAAAAGTCTATGTGGAAAGCTAAAAAACCTTTTCAAGGTTGGTTGCAGAAAACTGGATTCAACTTGGAACCGGGCAATCTTTTACGGATGGCTAGAACTAGGTCGACTGACAAAGCAGAGTTTTTATATTGGACTTGAAGGTAACGACACCCTGTCTGAACAAAAGAGTATAAAAAACTGGAGGTCAAATACCTGGTGCGAAAGTGCTTTAAACCTGAAACTTTGAAAGCATGTACTGTATGTATGGAGAAATTTCATCCTAAAGAAAGGGAAAGAATGTTACACCATGACGCCTCTTTTTTCATCACAATTCATTATTAAGGGGCCTACTATATCATCTCAATGAAGTTCAGTCATCGCAAAAATGTCGAGAATACATGAATCTTAGAAAAAGAAACATTTCAAATTTTGTTAAAATACGTTGAAAAACTGTTCTTGACTCTCCATAGAGTTTGTACACTGTTTGACAACAGCTTTCCTAAAACAAAAAAGGGTAAAATCATAGAGCAAGGTCTATTGTAAAATTTACATTGTAATTTATTCTCTGTGGATGCATTGCAAATAAAGATGGGCATAGGTCCATATCTATATCTGGGTAGAACCAGGACATAAAAAACAGCGTAAACATCCGAATTGGACATAGCTGATAATAGTACACTCACCACAATTTATTTGGAGTAAACAGTTTTGTCTTGGTCCTCCGTTGTGGCACGGCGCAAGGACACTGGCCAGACGGTGTTGTCCTTTCACTGATATCTCGACGAGTTTTTACGCTGGTCTGAGTTCGATGACTGACCAAGGACGAAAAGATGCAATGGCCGACGACAAACTTGCTCGGCACTCCTGCCTATTACTAGTAGCGCTAGCGACAGATTCACCCTCGTGTCAGCGATGGGAAAGTGAGTCTGATGTGATTAGTACATTGGTGTTTGTAAACAGTAACTTCGATACTATCTGCAGCCATGGAGCTGGCTAGGTGCCGGCCGTATATCATGCGCATATGCATCCGATAAAATGTAAACATCAAACTACTCACTAGCTCTAGCCGGCCATGTACATATGTACGTGTGTACGTGGTACGTGCACGCGCACGCAAAGAATGAATGCAAATACTACAACTACAAGCACAACGTTAGCCGCCACGTTGTATACCACGTGCAAGTACTACGCATGCGCCGAATGCTCCATTCATTACTTTCAATGCATAAATATAGTCATGGCGGTTTTCAGTTGGCACAGTGCCAGCCACCTTGGTTGGGATATAATTGATATTTGGCGGCGGAGAATTATGATGGCTAGGCTGTAAAACCGTTCGGAATGGAAATTAGACTGCTGCGCTGGGCCACGATGTGCAAATAGGGAATGCAGGGACGAGATAATTTGGAAAATGTAGACTAACCTTTTCATTTTTCAAAATATAAAAAAAAAAAAATAATATTTGAAATTGATCACAACGAACCCTTACATGCATGGGATTTTCTCTTTTTTGGGGGGGGGGGGCGGATAGTGAAAAATATTTTACACACGAGGGCGCTCTTCATGATGCAGATTGGGAGGCCTACCGGTACTAATTAGCGGCGTTTTATGGCTGTCAGACAGATATATTTATTTACTCAGAAGAAAATAAATGTCTCAATAGCAATGCTAAGATCATCAAAATGGAAAGTGTTGTTCACTTCACTCATCGCGAGAACAAACAAATATAAATGTACATTGTATTTACCAAATATCTCAATATCTGTTTCATTGGTTTTTTAATACTTGTAAAGGTAAAACGAGAACTTCAAAAATGAATACAGCAAGAGCGTTCCTTGATCTGTGTGGCATCATGTACTAAATCTATTGTAACATTGTACGCTGTTTTAATCCTCTTTTGATATAAATTGGCATTACCGGCCTTTGCTGATCTACGCATAAGCGACTTGGATTAAACATCTGGTGCGATCTAATCTATCTTCATAATTAATACCGCTTCCGAAATTAAAATCAAACAGTACAAATTATTATTTTCAAACCCGGACAGTGGATGTAAAAAAAAATACAGCAAATTAAAATATGTTACAGTTGAAAGATCGCTGAAAATACTTTGACAATTATTTTAAAACTGGAACGATGAACTTTAACAAAAAATTAAACTGTTGAATTTGAAAGTTCCGACAACACATCAGAAAAGGAAAATATCCCACGAGAGTAACGTTATAATTAAAGAATGAACCCCGGAGATGTTTCAAGAAGGGAAACAAAACTCCTACTGCAGTCACCAAAATTATTTAAGTCTCCTTGGCAAGTAAAGCAATTTCCTTCATCTAAACTTTCCGGATGATGTTGACGCAGTATTGCAATGCTGTCTACAACTTAAAACTGTGCATCTACAAACTTAGGGTAAAACAGTTTAAAACACAGTTCTTTAACTTATACATGTAATCAACCTAATGACGCTGTGCAAGGTTACAATAAATACGGTAATTCGTTTCAAGAGTTTTGAAACTCGACTGAAAACTACATGCTATTAAACGAATTGAATGCAAATGAAGCTTTGTAAAAAAATAAAACACGATTGAGTGATGATTTTGATCACCAAAAATAACTGCCGGCAGTCCAAATGAAAGCATGTAAATCATCAGACATTTCCATTTGAAATTGATTTAAACAACATGCATGTAAACGAATTCAATTAGACGAATAATTTCTCTATTCACTTCTAAGTTATCATATATGTGACAATAATACTTATGTTTAAAAAAAAGTGCATTAGGCCTACAAAACGATTTTGATTCAGCATCAATACCTAGGATGTACATGTATACTCACTAGACGTAAATTTTATCATTCAGGTACAGCTCAATGAATATTTTGACAATAAAACTGTACGAAAAAAATATCACACTGTCATACATTAATTTGTACTAAATGTCAGTATTTTTTTTTTTTAGTTAATATGAGTTAAGCATGCGCATAACAAGTCCAATATTACAAGCCCAATATTACAAGCCCGCCGGTGCCACGGTCTCACTTCTCCGGCGTGCTAGCTTCTCCGGAAAGGGAAATTTCGCTTCAACACGCATACACAAAATTGCGCAGTGGTGTACATTTTTTTTGTCAACTTTATTTGTGTGCTGAGTTCTTCGGGGTTGTACTGGTGCACGTAATATCATAGGATATTTGTATGCATAGTTACAGGGTACCAGTCGAATCCATTATTTTCGTGGCGCGCGCAACTCCCAATAACCAAAAAAGACTTGAAATGCACATTAATTTTAAGCCGCATGGTTGCAAAAATAAAGACAAAATGGAACACGAACGAGAAAGGAACACGGACCAAGGAGTTCGTTCTTAATTATTCCTCCATGAACACACACACATGCCGTAAGCTGGGAACACAAATCAGAATGCTTGCAAGACCATGGGGGAAGTGTTACATAACACATTCTTGGATGTCCCTCACTGTGTTATTAATAGGCTTGGTAATACAGCCCGAGGAAAAGTAAGCACAGCGGACACAATCATAACGTGCTCAACTGTCCGCCGAATCCATCTGGAGAAGCTAGCACGCCGGAGAAGTGAGACCGTGACACCGGCTCAACAGTTGCCTTACGAAGTCCGATTCAGACGCAAAGTCGCAAGTTGCAAAACGTAAGTTCCAGAATAAGATTCATTTGATATTTTCATCCGGATGTCTGAAAACATACATCATTATCACCGTCACTAGGAAGTGACCTTAGCCCCAGTAAAGTGGACAATCTGTAGTTTCGAGATACAAGCGATTGATTAAGTTGACGATGTTTCGAAACGGTGATCTGAATATCGTTTTAGCCTAAAAAAATATTCATATTTTGTTGCATTTTCTGAAAGCTGGGATCTTGAATGACACGTTAATGTATGATTGTTATTGTACAACATATTAATGAGTTATCAAACTAATTAATCACAAGTACACTTCGTGAAAACTCAAAAATCAGATAACGCTGCGTTCGAGTTTTCACGAAGTGACGCTATTAAACCAATGTACATTAGCTATGGGCTTCGTTACTTCGTGAAAACGCCAGAAGTAAGTCGCGCATCACATGACATTCAGTTTGTGTTTACTTCGTGAAAACGCAAAACTCGTTTCTGATGCATATTGCAGGCATATATAGTACACTTCGTGAAAACTCATTTTCTGGTTTGGACCCATTTAGTTACAAAAATTAATGTTAACTTCTTAAGGTGAACCGTAGATTGTGAATTAATCACCAAATATGAACAAATTCGAAATCGCAAAATAGCGATCTTTCGATGTTAGTGTCACTTCGTGCGTTCGTGGTGACGGTGATTGTGTTTACCTTTATTTTTTGTCCGTTTCAATTATCATCTTTTCGTTCTCATGAGACGAGCATTATCCAGAAATCAAATTTGTTTTCCTTTTGTATTTAAACTTGCTTCTAAGAAATCATTATACATCAATTTCGAGCATACTCTTTTACATTATGCTGTGCTCATTTAAAGCGACGTATTATGTACGTTACAGCAACAAATTAATTGTCCACTCAATATACTCCCAAACAAAATCAAACTAAAAACATTCCCCGTGCCTTAATAAAACCTCTAAAAACCGTGATATAATACAAAAATTAAATTGCTTTAAAAAGTATTTACATTTTACATTATCAAAAAGAAGGCTATTTACAAACCGCGGCAAGTACGGGTGTCTCTGAAGAAAGCAGTATGGAGATTTGAGAATAGTTTGTGGCTCTTCATCTTCGTATACGTAAGTATATATGTAAAGGTAAGTTATTCATATAAAACTAAAAAGTGAGAAGTGTTCTCTTTTGGGTGGGAATGATGTACAAAAACCTTCCTCGACCTCAACCATTGTGTGACCTCAATTTGAATCCAATCATGGTGAAATCATGTGGTATGGATCTCTTGTTAGAGTTTTCCTGCTTAATTCCGATCTTCCTTTCATCTTCTTTCAAAATCGATGATTGAAGGTTCCTATACATCATAACCGAGAGATTATTTTTTTGTGAAAGTTCAGAATAGCTCCTCTTTTGATATCAATAGAGAAGAACAAGATATACCCACTGATCTCACATAGATGGAAAGCCTCTGCTGGCCAATGGAACGAAAGGTTTCGGTCTCAAGGTTTCCTATTTTAATTTTGAAAGTCCTTGGCTCATCTCCCTGATCAAATGGATATTTGTTTTTGACGACGTTCGTCAAAAGCCTGGATGTTAATCTTATTTTTTGCTTTAAAAGATCTTGAGGCAAGGGTAAAAATTTTAAATATGAAGTGATATGGATTTCTCTTCTTGAGCTTTCTTTGAGATGGATGCCTCAGAGGGTGGTCTCATGAGAGGAAACATTGACGAACAGCGAGTCTTCGGGTTCAGATAGGGCCACATCAGTCTCAGCGCCAGTCGTGTAATCAACAGTGGCTGCTGGATAACGACGGTTAGAGTCCAGCGTGTCTGTAGCTGAGACAGTGGCAGGGGAGACAGACTGACCGGCCCCGGCAAAGGCTGAAGGGTAGATGATCGGCATCCCGGAGCCAACAGAACTCGGCGCCGGCGAGAGGTTCTTAGCGGACCCCGGACTAGTTTGTCCGGGCGGATAGTCGTTGTAGGCCGGGGGAGGTGGGCCGAACTGCCTTTGTGGTGGTGGATAGGCAGCGGTGGGGTCATGAACGGTGACGGCAGGCGTGTTAGTGGCAGGGTTGAAGTGGATCTCAGAGCTGTTGAGCTGATGTCGATTACCACTGGGGATGGTTTGTGCGTAGCCGACCTGCTGACGGTGGTGTTCTATCGGAGGACCCCAGTCATCCGAAGGCCTCGCTGCCTTCCAAAACAACTGAAGGGAAAAAATGGTTAATCAAACGGAATTGTAAAACACTCAAAGACCACAACATTATTCCAAACTTCCACAATTACAAATCAAAATGGGCTTTAATACCATCATTAAGTCTACGTGCATGTATTTAACAACTTAACTTCTTTCGGCCGCTATATTTTTTTATTAATAAATGGTCCAATCAGTGGTCCAATCAGTTTGTCAGTGCATATACCTGTGTGAAATACATATAGCCTCTTCTCTTCTTCAACAGTTGACATATCCCAACGAGTATGGGTATCAACAGTAGAGGGAGAAGACCAAGCGCTAGCAAGATATACTCCATCCAATACGGCCTGGTGAAGCCTAGGCTATACGGAATGTCAGACAACATCTTGAAGAAGCACAACTGCATAATGGATAGAAAACTTTCAAGTTTAGAAAACGAGTGTGGATATTCAGTTGAAGGAAACAGGTACAATGTACAAGCTATAAGAGTCTACACGGAACATAAAATAACCAATGTTTTTAACAAACATGACACGCAAGATTATACTGACATAACTTTATTCATCACATTTACAAAAAATAACGATGTAATTGGTATTCAGCCACTATTCTCTTAAAACAAGAAAAGTAAACGTGTGTTTTAAAAAAAAATATTTTGGGGGTAAAATTTAGGAGCTCCATACCGCAGTCGCAAGTGGAATAATGGCAGCCCAGAACAGCAGAAAAACGATCTGGAAGGGAAGCGGGAAGAACCCCACCATCTTCTGAATCTCTCGAGGCAGACGCATGATATTCCATTTCGGGATTGTACCTGGAGTTAACAAAAAAATACTGGTAATATGCAGTCATTTTCCATGATTTTCTCTTCAAAGCTAGTCTATGGAACAGTAAATCTGACGTTTGGTTAATAATAAACCATCATGGAATAATCAAACACTATCATGTGATCAGGAACACCTTGATATAAAAGGCCCATGCAATGTATTTTTGTTTAATGCAATCTTGAAAATGCACTCATTCAAACTTATTTTCAATTTTCGTTTTGCCATTTTCAAGGATATTTTGGTGCATTTTTGGTTTTTATGCTAATGAAAATTCCATATCGATGAGCAAAAGTGTGATCGTCATTTCAGGCAAATACCACTATGTTACAGCTATTTCAGCACAAAAAAGTTACAGGAATTTTTGATATTTTGCTCTTTTTTGGGGTGATTCGTTGTGTCAGTACATGGCAGTGAGCCAAAGAGCAAACTTTTCTCACAAATGTTTTCAATGAGCAGACTTTGGGTTCACATTTGAACAGAAAAACATCTAAATTGAACAGCGCCATCCTGATATGACATCAAAGCAACAGCGCCCTCAGTTGTCCGGAAATGCATGGACAACAGACTATGCACTTTTGAATAAAATTAACCAAAACGGGATACCAAATAGTTTTCATACATTTTAAGAGGAGTGGGAAATTGAACAAAATGTGTTCATAAGAAAAATTCATTTCATGGACACTTTAATATATACAATCTGATCAGTCAATACAAGGTGACAAAAAGAAAAGTTAAAAAATTGAAGTGACTGCACCGAAGGGAGGAAATCTGCTATGATTTATATTTATCTTCTTTATACAAAGTTCTACCAAAAGCAACATTTTAAAATATATATCTTAGTTTTCCTTACCATAAACCCACACTGAGGCGAGTGGTAGAATGATAGCGACAACAAACGCACCCCAAAGTGCTGTGTGCGTGTGAACAGCTGTAAGGACGCCGAATCCACCCTATAAAATATTATCATAGAATTAGGTTTTATAGTAAAACATACCTATAGACCTGAAAGACCATCGTGGATTACAGTTCTTTTCTTGTAATAGGACGGGTATGATTAAACATTTTGCTCATGCATACTTGGGGAATCAACTATAAGGAAATGTTTTCCAAGATGGCTGCCACTCTCAAATGATTCGGATTGGTCATGAGTTGCAGACAATTATTACAATAAACAGTTTAAGGGTTCGAGTCCAGCCCAAGTGAACTATAACTTTATCATCACACGGTTCTGGAGAACTCTGAGATACCAGGCTAATGTAATTACTCTCACCTCTGTCACCATGGGTAACGATACCAAGAAACTCAGAACGCAGATGATACCACTGGTTGGTAGCAGAAAGATGACCGAATGCGGCAAATGGAATAGGTCAAGCAGTGTGGTCAACAAAGCTTGAACCATGAAGATCTGGCAGAAGAAAGAAACTGATAAATGTATTCTCTTGAACATCATCAAGTATATTTATTTATCACATCTAGCTTTTAAGATTTAGCTATGCGACAATATAATTTCCAACAACATGTAGTAATCATATTCTCAACGTATTATGATCTGACAGAAATACTGTTCATTTAATCTAAATCATCCTTGATCATAATGTAATAAAAACATGCTCTTCTTGTGCTATAATTATCTTAAAGAGATTGGAATGACAGCTTTTACCTTAGATTTGTTGTGTGAAAGACATTTTTCAAAGGTTTTCTTACACATTGCACAATGGTTTTCCTTCTGGTATTTAGACTACTTACAGAGGCGCTTGTGAAGAGAAGAAACATGGTGATGAAGAAGACGCAAGTCCAAGCATTGGTCACGGGCAAGGAACCCATGATGCTGGGAAGAATGGTAAGCGTCATGGGTGCGCCTGATCCTTTAGATAACAGACAACCAATCACAATGTATTATTATACATGTACATATTGATATGGTTTACGCACTGTCCAAAAGTGTTCTTGATATATTGTATCTATACTTGGCAAAGGCTAAGAACCGTGCTTTATGGAAAGGGTATATACGATTGTACCAAGATATAACATTGTTCTGAGCGGTTATGGTTGATACGGAAAGGAATACATGTACACAGTTAGAAAGTATCATCATACATGTTGTCACAAATGTCACTGTGATGTCATACCTGTCGTGTAATCAGCGTCACGTGATTACAACTGTTTTGTAAACATGGTCACTGCTGCTCTTGCATTTTCATGTAAACACTTTATTTAACACCATCATCAGCATTTTAAGTATTTCGAACAATGCTTTTCATGTCAAGAAAAAGAGATTGAAGATGGAAGTAGAAATTCATGCCTAATCCGAATACAGGTATCTTACCTTCATATAGGATGTCCCCTGCGGATATGCCAGCATGACGGATATAGAACCCAGCAAAAGTTGCAACAATCAGGAGTACCATGATCTTGATAACCACAGCGGCAGTTACAACGAAGAAGGCATCCCTAGTGGTCAAAATAAAATCAGGATCCAAAATTAATTGGCCTTGCAATTTTTTTATAGCAATCAGTTGTGTTAACAAATTTACTGAAACTTGATGTGCAATTGTCAAAATTACAAGGTTTGACATTCAATTTACATAATCATGAAGTTTCAAGAAAGGGAGTTTTGAATCGCAAAACAGTAGGCTTTAATTATGAAAATACTTGTACTTGCAATACAAATACAACTAAATAAAGAAAAACAAAGGAAAAACTGCAGAAAACTTACAGGCATAAGTTGTTGTGGAATTTGTTGTAGCTTGACAGCGCTATGAACACGCCCAATCCCATTGAGCTAACGTTGAAAGCTTCGACAAACGCGGACTGCCATAACTGAAAACCAAATATTCAAGTGTTTAAAGTTTGCAAGATATCTTCGCCATACATTGGACACCTTTCCACCCGAAAAAGAAGAAGACGAAACACACACAAAAAACACGCAGATCTTTCAATTTTGGACTAGATTCACATTCCGCCGTTGATTTTCCAGTAAATAAATCTACCCAGTTATTTGGATAAAAGTTTCACTTGCACCCATTACTGACGACCTATGTCTCAAACGCATGCTTAAAATGCTAAACAGGAATTTTTCTTTTAATTTAAGTTTTTGAAAATGGTGTCAAGTACAAAGTCTCCATTTTTGGCACTCTGAAATATTGTACAGGCATACACAAACTTTACCAAAATCAAGAATGCTAGTATCTCACAAGACAAAAGGATTGTGCGGTAAAGTACATGTACATGTGTTATTCTAATAACTGTTCAATACTTTGAAACGGCAAAATAGGTTCGTTCCACTGAGCATGCAGCAAGTTTTCTAATAAAAATGATGTGGCGGTATCAATGGCTACACATGAAGCTTTAATCGTAACTTAAACAACTCATACTGCATCAAGATCCCTTTGCTGATCCCAATTCAAACTATGATGAATAAACTAAAAAAATCGTGAATGACTCATGCCTCGACACTCGTAAAGGAGTGCACATCACTGATATGCAAGAAATAGATGAGACCGTCAAGGGCGCCAGGCAGAGTGGCTCCGCGTATGAGCAGAACAAAGAGAAGAATTACGGAGGCTGGCACGATAAAGTACGCCACCTGGAGAAAACCAAAAAGAAAACACAGAGTTAGATTCAAACTTGTATAATTCACAACTACTTCAAAGCAATGGGGAATAAGTAACAATAAGAGCCGTGGATTTTTCGGATGCCTTCACAAAACAAGATTGGGGTTGAACAGTTAAATTTAGGTTGACACTCGCTTTCGTGTAAAATTAGGTGAGCTTTCAACACTTTATGTCTATATAATTTTTATGAGGGAAACAATCCATTAATTCCATGATACGAGTTTCAAGAAGTTTTAAAGATTTCCTTACAGTCCGAACACTCATGAATTTTGGTTTAACAATGCAGCAGTTCCTATATGCATCATAGGTGGCAATAATAATTATACGTAACCATAGGCATATACACATCTGAGGTAAAAAAAAACTAATTCTGATTATAATCTGTACACGTTTTTTTTTTTTAGAAAAGAACTTCAGAACTCACTTTGCCTGTCCATTTGGCTCCCATGCAGGTCAGTGCCAAGATGAAGCCCCAGGTAGCTAGCAGGGCGAAGACCAGACTGGGCCTGAGAGGGCCAATACTCGTCAAATCACCATCATTGGTGTTGTACACTTCATAGCTATTGAAAAAAGACAAATAACCAGCTAATCACAATAATTTATAATGTGACTAGTTCTATGAGGCTGCCGCTCTTCATTACTGGAGCACCAAAGAGAGGTTAGAATAAGAACAAGACTATTCAAGTAAACATCACCATCCAAAATTGACCTTCCTTTTGCGATAATGTCATGTCGGAAACATTTGCAGTTAAGGCAAAAACAAGCAAAAGCTCAGAAAGTAGTAAACAATTCCTGGGGATAAAAAAGCAATCCAACAATGTACCTGAAGTATTCCTTTGCAGGCGAGAATGGATTCCTGTAGATGTCAGCTTGCAAATATTGCGAGTTTTGCCAGGCGCTGCTCGAAATCCCTGTGTCAATGCTTGGCATAGACCTATTCATCGTTGTCACTGGCACCACTGGAGACATCATGTCGTAACAGTTAGCGGTGTTCCACCAATGAGAGCAGACGAGCCAAGGCAGGGGCGTGGCATGGACAGAGTGTTTGATGGTGACAAAGGCGTACAGGAGATGGTAGGAGGAGAAGACGTTGATCGTGACGTTCAGCAATGCGAGGGACAGAGCGGCTATGACACCAAATCCTGAATGTTGATCATAATAACATTAACAAGGACAAAAGTTTACCATCATAACGATAAGTCACAAAAGTTTAACACAAAGAATGCATTTCACATCGATGTACGATGATCGAAACCTAATAGAAACTATGACATGAATGTTCAGTAATATATATAATTTAAAAGAAATCCGATTTTTTTTACATGACTTTCATTTTTTTTGTGCACCAGTTCCTCCGCTTGTTTATAATACACACACAGTTATCCAAGTTGTATAAAGAGTTTTTTCCATGAAATACCAACCTTTAAATAGCGGCGAGAGGTTCCACACAGAAATGATTCCCGAGCTGGAAAACTGCCCCAATGCCATTTCCAGAACAATGTAAGGGAACGCAAAGAAGATCATTGCGAGAACAAACATAATCAGAAAGATACCTGCAAATAAAAAAAAAACGATAGAAGAAATTCAACTAATCCATCATGTACATGTATGTGGCAAACTTTACACCATGTACAATTCAAGAACACACTTTAGTTTCTGCAAAATCAAATTTAGAAAAATCGTTGCATTCATAAAAACACATTTTGCTAACGCAAGACATAAATCTCTTTGGAGATCGTTTTGGATAAATGTAAATATCAGATAGCTACCCTTTTCCAAAATGTTTCTGTTTTAAGACACACCCACACATGTGTGTGTATTTACCTACAATCGTGGACCCCTTATTGTCCCTATTTTATACTAACTTTTTAGGAAGACATCCCATATGTTTTGTACACGATCATCAATTGTGGACCTTCGGAAATTGAGGACCCTATTGTCCTCTATTGTTCAATGTCCCCTATTGAATGCAGAAATAAAGTCATATCCCTACATTCTTAAACACTTTGTGTTACAGCGTAATACGTAAAGATATTTTTGACAAGTCCTTCATTTCGTTAAAATATGTATATTTCTTGACGCCTACCTCCACCGTTGCTAAGGACTCTGAACGGAAGCGAGTAGAAAGTAGTTCCGCTGCAACAGAGGGCGATGCAGGCAAAGATGAATTCAATCTTGTTCCACCAGTTGCCCCGCTTGGGGTTCTCATCTCGGCTGGAGATGGGGAAGGGTCGAGTGGGGCGGGGCATGAAGGCGTCGGGGGAGGGCTGGCTCTGCAGCATGGGTTGGGTGGCTTCATCGGCCCGCCGGGTGTCCAGGCCGGGCTCCTCGAAGACGAAGCGGCTGCCGTCCACAACATTGCTTTTATTATTTTCAACTTCACAAAAATATAAAAGGTGAATTAAAGTAATAAATCTAACTGATTTCATGGTGTAAAACTTTAAAATGGTTGCATATTTTCCAGGAAAATATTTTTGTTAAATTGTAAAGGCCAAAACTACATCGAAAACCCTTTCTTTCTGCCTACAAGATGGTGTTTATCAGTGCCCGAGTCTCTAACTAATGCCGGACGTGTCTTTGAATATTTCTTTTCACGATACCTTTCCTACTTTTCTTTTATGCACGGTATAGAAAGAAGGTCAGCAACCACACAAAACATCACAATATTCTGGGCTCTTACGTCTGGTTACTTCAATTCGTGATAATTTTCACTCGCTTGGATCTTACCTTTTTTGTTTGTTTATTGGAGCCCTTGCCGTGGGCAATAAATGTATTGTAATTATACTGTATAGGAGACAATTTTGTTAACAACACACAAAAGTCCCCGTTCTGGAACGGAACTATTTTTTTCTGCAACCAAGTATTGTCAATGTCCACAACAACCCTGCTGCATACCTTGTGTTCCATTCATCTTGTTTTGATGATGCGTGATTTCCGTGAAGAGAAACAGACGTTCATTCGCTTTAATTCACCTCAATCAGACACGGCAATATTAAAGCTGAAAATAAATTAAACAGTATGAAGATCAGCAAGGGTTATGGTGCTGAGAGTGAGAACTTTCCGGTCGACTCTACAATGTGCTGCGTAGTGGTTCTTTGGTAAGATACATTGTTGTATCGTGGGGTTTCAAGTCAACTTCTTGAAGATCGTACCCCAGGCATCTGCTATAGTGGAGCTTGACTTTGCAGTTGAAACTTGGAGAGATGGAGACACATTTCACTCCTATGGAAGCTCTGCCAAAATAGGTCATGCAGTTCTTTGAAATCCCAATCCGGGATATAATTCCTTACTGCACAACCGCAGACACCTCAGAATACCCACATTTACATATGACTTACTGACCTCAGTCCTTCAATTAGAAAAAAGGAATCTTGCCTAGATCACAATCTCAACTTCTGAATTTGTTAGATTTTAATTTTTAAAATCGATACAAGTAATTTAATATCTGAACCTCAACAATGTAAAGCATGCCAATAAATATCAACCTGGCCAAAAACTGATTGTAACAACTACCTTATAAAAGTTTTCAGAGAATAATGTAGGAGATTTTTGATCCAATAGAACTTAAAAGATAAGATGTCACCAAAAATATTTTCCTTTGATTATACGATCAAATAATGTACAGCTCCAAACGAAATGGGCTACCGGAACACCTTAGGTGCAAAACGAGCGGTTGCATATTATTGGCTATATGGGAGAATTATTTATTTGATGAGATCTGAGCACCTGGTGCTAGGCACTGCATGAAGCCATTACAAGCCGCAGAGTCAGGGTCAGCTATGGGCTATGCCTGTTAAACTGTCCTGCTATCTTGATGTTAAAAGACAGCTCAGGAATGCTCACTAAACATGTGGTGGAAGAAAGGCCTCCTCCAGAATACCAGTTATCTTTAGGGGTTTATGGCCCACTAATAAATCATGTTTAACATCGCGACATGCGTCGAGGAAAAGTTTAATATAAATCGATCAAATCAATGTACGGCCGACATACCTTCAAGAACCGATTTAATAGCCAACTTTGCTTTCATTTTTTGTTAGTTTGGATGTTGCCACTCTAAATGCAAGATGTTTTTTTCTTTTGATTTAAACGAGGTATGTCATAATGGTCTTACAGGCGAGCAAATTAAGTATGATTGACACAAAAAAAACAAGAAGAAAATGATAGTGTTCACGGCTCACTACTCACGTGATGTCACGCGGATATAGTGCTCACAAATTTTAAATAATCAAATGCACGAAAAAGCATCGTTAACTTAAAGACTAGAATTTATACACCTTTGTAATGCTTCCCGTGAAGAAATACACCTCTTCTTTTAGGGAAAAACAAATTGCAGACACTATGGCACACTGCCTTTAATGCACATTTATTACTTCCGCCTCTGTGATTTCATTACGCCCTCTTCTTCATTAGTCAAAATTCCCCGACGTGGTCTCAAGGTTTTTAATCAAGGCAGCGCCGACACCAGGTCATGATAAACAAATAAACGTACACACAAGATGAACATGGTCATGTAATTCAATCAGTCTGTTTTAACATGGAGCTATTGGTGTTATGTTCAAGCTCTGAACAACATTGGTGCATGTGAACGTGTCTGCACCCAGGCACCACAAACCTTTCCCACGGATAAAGGATACACCATAGGTCACTCAGGTCAAACGGATTACAAGGATCATCATGTGGTTGGGAGACTGGTAAACCACTGCACGAGTCACGTCTGATTGTTATACGTGGAAACTGCACTGGCTCCTTATATGTATGAAAAGCTGTACATGCATGGGTTGCAAGCAAAATGCTTTTCTAGTTCACATAACATTAGAAGCTGCTCAAGTTCTTCAACAGGCACAAAAATATAGAATATATCCATGGAAAACTAGAAAGCACACAGAGAGAGAGCAAACCTCCGCCAAGGCTAAACAATTCCCCGCCATATTGTCAGTACACCCAAAAGAATTACTCGCATAAATGGTGAAGAATCCTTTAAAAAAATCCTGGATCCAGACCCAGATCCGGCTCCACTTCAAAAATCTAATCGTTTTGTACTTGTACCAAGGACCACCCCTAAAAAAATGTTCATGCAAATCCGTCCCTAACTTTTTGAGTTATCTTGTTAACAGACAAACCAACCAACCAACCAATCAACAAACAAACAAACTAACCAAATCCTATGAAAACATAAACTCCTTGGCGGAAGTAGTAATTAAAGGTACTCACTTTTGTTTTAATACTGTGACACGTTCGTGCGTAGTAACATGACTAACGCACTGTAGTGACAACTCACGAAATATTTAATTATCTGCTTCCATAAATAGACATACATGTACGGATCAGGTTACCGAAAAAATAATCATATTTTGTTTTTACAACGCCAGCTCCAACGCTGTGACGATAAAACCTTCAAAAGCAATACATTGCCTTGTGGCATCTGTATTAGTATTCCACTGCAAAACACATCAAGCGTAAAGCATCTGTTAATGTCAGGTATACATAAAGAGTGCACACGGTATGAGTCAATTAAAATTCACAAACTACAAAAAATACATTTTGCCTGGGGCTTGAAACGGTAAGTTTGCATAAATTATACTTATCATGGCATTGAAACGGTGAACCGCACCTATAAGAGACGCCACACGAATGCCATATAACTCGGCAAAATAGAAATTCTTATGCTAAATTTAAAGTCTATAAAGGTTTGTGGTTTCTCGATTACCACAGAGGTTTGTAATGCACCACTGATTCCTTCAACACCTCCAACGCGAGTCACAAAAGTTCAGCGATGTAATCGTCGTTTTCACTTGTTGACATTAGGGATAGCTACTGCACTGCACTGCACTGCACCAGTTTGTCGGGTCAAAGGTACTGGAACACAGTAGGGTATGGGACACTCCCTAAAAAAGGTAGGATCACATTTTTTTATCATCTAGATCAAAGTTATGTGTTGCTCCGTGAAAAGGACAACTGAGTCATTGAAATAACTTGCATGATACGATAAAATAAGCACACAAGTCTTGTTAAAACATCTCAACATTAATGAAAAAATGTAATGTCAAGAGACGGAAAAATGCAATTCTCAAAAATCATGATATTCATATGCTCGTATCTTCTTAAAAAGGTATTTTCCTCTAAAAAGATCTGCAATATGAAAATGGGTCCTCGAACTTCTTAATGCAAATCATTTTAATATTCCCCACAAAGAACTACGCCTGAATGTGGACGTTTCTTTGTGTGTTTTTTTTGTGTGTGTTTTTTTTTTTTTTTTTTTTTTTTTTTAATATATGCTGGCCTGCCGAAATAATTTACTGAGCTGGTTTTTGTAACACAAAAAGGAGGAAATGCAGGAAATATTTCAAAAGAGCAAAGCAGAGAAATATCTAGCTGAGTTGTATTTACAAACTCTAGAAAGAACGTTTTTTAATCATTTGCACGAGTGTTTTCTTGCATCATACATTTTCAGTGGCGATCCCTTTATCTGACGACCTTCCAAGAATCATGCCTCAAATATTTTGGTGTCGAGCAAGAAAGGTCTATTAATCTTTGATTAGAAAAACACACATTGGTCTCAAGTCTGAAGGACACGATAAACTACAACCGTGATCTTCCCACACCCTGGCCCACGGGCCTCCCCCAAGCACAGTGTTGATGTAAATAGAGGCGGGGTTATAGACCAAGAGGGCTGCAGAGGTTGTGACTGTGACATTGTTGATGAGAGGTGCATCTGTCAGAGCAGAGACCAGCCTAGGAGGCCAGTAGCAGTCTGCTCATAAATCCCTGCTTGGTATTTACGGCCGAATTCCAAGTTTTCGGTCATGCAGGAGTCAACCTTGCAAGCTGCTACATGTACATGTATATGCAATCGCTTGGTAGATATAAACAAATTGTTACCAAGTGACGATACCACATTTGTTTTTGCATCTTGTTTGAACAAGTGCACTTACACAGTAAGCAATTAATCTTCCTAATGGATCGGCGACGCAAAAGCGAGAGAGCTGGAATATTAGGCCTTGCTGTACCACGGTAGTTCCTTTTATTAAATGAACTTCATAATAAATTGGGTATACATCATGCATTTTCCACTCTATGAGCTTTCAAAAAATCACAAAGCATCTAACAAAATATTTAGATCGTTCATGCAGCCAATATGAACATGCATAGAGCAAACCGAGACTTAAAGCACGGGGAACCTGCAAGTTATAATCAGGCTACCTTAAGCTTACACTTCTTAAGCCATAATTTAAACGGGAAGGATATAAGGCTAGACTGGCCGAATTATACTGAGGGGCAAGTCAGCAGTTTTGCACGGCTCTTTAGGTAATCATGCAATACTGAATACTAGAATTTTGAAAGTCACATATTTTCGTGTGTCAATTACACATATCTTCAAATGATTTATAACAATACATCTGATGAAGTCAGTTCTGTGTACCGTCACAAACCTTGCTCATACTCATAGCACAGACAGTATAGGGCCTACATGTTGTAATTTCTTGTACATGTATAGTTTTTGCGCACACCTTTTTTCTGCTATTCTCCTCCACACTATGGAACGAACAGGTGGAATGAACAGGTAAAATGTACCACACGCCGATATTAATTATGCAAAGAAATAGAGGTAATTTGATAGTGCAACCCAACCCATTGTATTGTTGAAAGCAATGTAATAAGATGCAACTTCATTGGTTGTTCCTCTATCGACACTTGTTGTATTTTTTAACTATGCACAATCCTTGAAAATATTATTGAAGATGGCGTCAGGATAGTGAATTCGCTTGGTGTTTTTCTACACGTTTGCGACTACACTGAGCTTATTATACTTTCACTTTGGCAAGTCAAAGGTCAAAGTAGATTGATGTGTATTTCAATTCAAATTGGTAATGGTACAATATATAAACGTGTTAGCCTGCATGAACTACATTCTTTGTACATTACATTTGGTACATGTACTTCATCATACATGTTTGCATGGAAGATGTAGGTTTGGAATGTATTTATCGCATTACAGATATATCGAGATAAACTGGATAATACCGCACTACCAATACAAGCATTATATTGCATATGCAATACCAAAACACCGATCAAAATGGATATTGGATAACGAAATGATACTAGCAATTGGCATACTCGTAAAGGAATGTCTAGCGATTGCAACATGAACATGGGTATCGTTAACCATGGAGGTAGAATATTTCTACCTTCATGCGTTAACGTATCATGAGTTCTAACCTAACTGACTTCATGTTCACCACATGCACTTACCAAAGAAAGCTCTATTATTTCAACAGCATGAACAAAAGCATCTTACCTTACTGACAGCGTAACACCGCAGCGTACAAGCGCAGTCATAGCTGTTTTGCACACAATTTACTGCTGCGGCTGATAATAATAATCACGGAGTGCAGTGTGCAAGCGAGCTGTTTGTGTATACGTATATTCAGTCACAGCTAGTGGTCCCCACAACCGACCTTGGAAATTTCTCCATTGAAGCGAAGAAAATCACAATAGCGACGACTCGTAACGCGGCCCCGCCAGCCAGCTCCGCTCTTTTGTTGACTGTTTGTGCAGGTTTCAAAAACGCTCGCGGGCTACAAAATTTCAGGCTGCGGGGGCAGCGCGGGGAATCAGTCTTGCGATCAAAATCTTCGCAGCAGGGATTGAAATGAACTTGAAAGCTACTAAATTTCACTTGCTATTGCATGCAAAATAGGAGGTCTGGAAAATACAAATCAAAGAATATTCGCAAATAGAAGAAAACAATCAAAACCGATGAATATATATATTATAGTAAGCCTGTGGACGCCACCATCGTTTCAAAATTGAAAGTCCAAGTTCTTTTGAAAGTCCAAGTTGCTGTTATTTTTTTTTCCAGCACGACAAAGCACAGAGAAAATAACCAGCAGTCTTGCTGATGGTTCTTTCCAAGTCAGACAAGATAACAAAAAATCACATGCTCTTAAAAAAAATCTAAGAGAAGCATGTACCCAGCTCGAATTTTTTTTGTCAAAATTGTGCCTGTATCGAATGACTTGTACCATGGATGGAGGAAGGGAGGACGACTGAGACAAAACTGAACAGACAATCCTGGTAGAGGGCGCTGTCTAGTGTTATCATGACAAAACGTTGACATATGGAGGACGTACGTACCGTGAGCGGCAGACTGCAATGATGTTTGCAAGCTAGCTGAAGCGGCTACGATACTCATTTGTTTTTTTCTTCCGAATATCGAAATGGACTTAAAAAAACCACCGGGCTGAGGTAACCCCATGCGACGTGACATAACAGGCTTTAAATTTCCCACAATTTCTATACGTATTAATTCCTCAGTCATTAATATATTAATATAACTTTGGAATGGTTTAATTAGCCTAGCTAGTATAGGACGTGTTGGCAGTAACTTAATGAATGCAATATCACTGAACAGAAATCGCAAACGTGGGTGCAATCTATCGACATTAAATCGTAAAATCTACAGATTTATGGCGAGGTCAAGATAGTGCATGTTTGTTTATGCTGTGGTTTACAGTGAGTGGATACTGCATGTCGCAGCAGTAAATAAAAGCAAAATCTGCAAAAGTTTACTGATGCCTGTCACGCAAGAGAGGACCCTACAGCGACTGGAACAAGTCTAAGCAGTATTATAAGCCTTGCACTTTGACCCAACGTCTCAAAGATGCAAGGAACCGTTCACTTGTGAAACAGATCAATTCAATGTATGAAAAGATCTTGATATATGTGTCACTCATGTCTTTTATCCGCAAACTTGAGCTTCATCGTTGATCCGTACATGTGTTCTTTCCCTCTAGTCTGATAACAGGCCCTACACCAGATCAGAAAGGAGACGTCCGTACATGTACATCCCACCACAGAGCAAGGAACAGACTAGACTATCGATCGTAACGGTAGTGCACAGCACCAATGTGCGAACATTGCATGCAGTATGTTGATGCCTGATTTTATGAGAGACTGAACTCAACTCAGTCAACAATGGCTGTCCGTATTTGCACCAGACTGTCCCGCTCCAAGCTAGTTGTTTTCATCCTTCTTTTGGCTGTAGCTGTGGTGGGAACGGTGGGCCTGATGTACACAATGCATGCCCCGAGCGGAGTTGGTAAGTTGCAGCGATGGGCAAGTAAGCCGCTTAAAATTGTCCTTTGCTTTTGTCAGCGCTTGTGTATGCCTGACATTGACAACTAGCCATGAGTTGAGATACTATGGATGACTAATGTACATTTTGTACATGTACGTGTACCCGTATTAAGAACATGTACTGTTCTGTGTTTCCGTGCTTTAGAGCCACTGGTCTACATGTACATGTATCTAGTACCTCCATGGTCGTCTTTGGTCGAATCTACATGTACAGTGTACGCGCTAATTTAATACGGTTGGTCATTCAGTGTCTTGTGTCTTGACATCTGACCTAGCCCCATACTCGACCTACTTCATCGAGAAAGATCTTCATAATGCAAGACTATATGGGACTTTCATATACACGTATAGCGACGTGTGAAAGTCCTTTCAATGACCAAGCATATCCGGCCAGTATGAACGATACAGCCAAACGAAGTACATGTACATGTACGAGGCCTGTTTAAACACTAACATCACAAAATGATAATTTAAAATTCACTTGCAGGATGCTAGTTCGTTTGTATTTTCTGATTGAATGAGAGCACGCCGCGTGGATGTTTTAAACCTCCTTAACCAGTTAACGTTTCCCCTGAATCAGGACAAAATGAAATTCTGCTCGCGTCTCTGTCTGTATTTAAATTCTTGTCAAACAAACATGAATATTTCACAAATATATTTAGGATATTTTGTTTTAACACAGATCGTTATTCACAAGAAGATAAAATCAGGGAGTAGTAAAAAAAAAAAGACTAAACAAAAAAAGGGGGAGTTATGGTTTTTGTCACCGATAATGGACGAAATAGACGAAATCATTACCGGCATTATTGGTTTATCCTCATAATTATAACTCTCTCACAATTTTCCAGTGGATGTCAGCAAAACATTAAAAAGTTGACATGGACCAGTTCGATCAGACCCCGGTTCTTGTTCATTATGTTATTGGGTTTGAAAATTGTTATCGAACATTGTTTTCGAGGAGAACCTTTCAAACACCAGAAGTAGAAACTATTGTTATTCTGAAGTGATCTCAATTGCAAACTAGATAATTGTTTTTGATACCGTTTAACTAATACGGCGTTTTGCTTTGTGTTGCAGGGAACCGAGGAAAGATATTCACGATTTTTTCTTTGTTTTACTCTCGTAGATTTTTCCAAAGTCAAGGTTGATCGTGTCCCCATCAGGGCTCCTGGCCCAGATTTTCTCCGACTGGAAGACGATTGGTGGGATGGATTGCAGAAAAATGCTTTATTCAAGAAAACCAAAACAATTGATAGTGTCAACAGATCTAGATCCGAATCGAGCGAGATTGAGGTAAGGATTGAACAAATTGTATTCAAAGTTTACTATAATTTAAGATTTACCTTGATCTATACCTGGGGTATAGTTTATTAAGACACTTGGGTTTAAAGCAATATCTCAGAGAGTTCAGTCAAAGGATTTATTATGTGGCTAACTGGACTAGTGTTTCGTTACATCTGCGTTACATGGGATTGTAATAAAAAAAACACTCACGCAATCGTGATTATCCATGTTCTTTTTTTTGACGATTTAGGAGGACACGGAAGAGATGAGTTTCGCTGTTGCCAAGACATGGAAAAGAGCAACAAAGATGCCTAACCCGGACACGAAAACAGATGCAGTGTCACTGGACATTATGGCCAGTACTAGCCGAAATCAAGTACAGACGTCCAAGACACTTGCCAATGAATCCTGTGACAAAACCTGCCGTTGGTGGCGTGAGCAAGAGCGCCGCCAACGGCGCGTCCAGGAGACTTGCGCTGATGCGTTGCACAAGCGGACGCAGCCGGTGGTGCACTACTACCTAACGTCGCAGACTCTCCGCACCATGACGCACCTTCTGGTGCTAGACTCGCACAAGCTCATCTACTGTTACGTCCCGAAAGTCAGCTGCACCAATTGGAAGCGGATTTTTCTCGTTGCCAAGGGGATCTTCCCCTCCGTCCAAGACATCGAGCAGCGGAGGACCCACTTAGCAACCGATGCGCTCATGCGCACTTTGAGCTCCTACCCACTGCAGACTGCCAACCGTCTTCTCAAAGAGTACAAGAAGTTCATGTTCGTCCGTCATCCTTTCGAGCGCATTCTCTCGGCTTACATTGACAAATTTCAACTGGACTACCCAAGTAGTAAGCACTTTAGAGAGACCAGTGCTGTCGAGATAGCGCGTTACGGTGACTTAAGCAAGACGTCTAGACTCAAAGATGGAACCTTGAACATCACCTTCCAACAGTTCTCCCGCTTCGTCAGTGACCCGATAAACCAAAACCTGGAACCGCACTGGCAGGAAATGTACCGCCAGTGCCAACCATGCATGATACAGTACGACTTCATAGGCAACTACAGCTCTCTCAAAGAAGATGCCGATTTTATCATTAAGACTACCAAATTAAACCAGCCCTTTCCCGAATCCACCAACCCAACTGGAAGCTCCAAGCAGAGTAAGATAAAGAGGTACTTCTCTCAGTTGACAGAGGATGAAATCGACGCACTTTACCAACGCTACTCTACCGATTTCCATTTATTTGGGTATAGCGTACCTCCTTACATATCAAACAGGACTTTCAGTTGAGCAGTCAGAACTCTCAGTTGGGCCAAGAAAGCTTTCACATTCCTATTTTGATTCACGACACCTTAAGACATTGTCCAATCATGTATTAATTGTTACTGATGTTGCTTCATTTTCTCTTTATAACTCGAGGAGTATTATTTAATCATTACCATTAGGCTCCATGAAGTATAAGGAGATGAATAATCAATGTGTGCTGAGGTCCATTTAAAGATTTTATATTTGATGTTTTATAGATTCTTTAGAGCAAAACTCAAAATTTCTTGAAGTGATTGAATAAGATGGACTACTGGTGATGTCAAACACAGTGATGTTAAGTATGTCAAATTTGACACAATTACCAAACAAGTAATAATAAAAGATCGATCATTTATTTCAGCATCGTTGTTGTACCGACAGTAAAAACCACTTAAGTATTTTTTGGCTGAACTTGTTTTGTAATAATGTTCATTTTTGTATTAACAATTATGTTAAAAGGGGGGAAAAGCACTGTCAGTTGGAACAGGGGACAATAAATAAGCGAGATGTATTGCTACATCTAGAGGCAAAAGCCATCTGTGCAAAATAAAACTGGATGCTGGATTCGACGACTTCCTCCCCTCCCATAGCTATCTGGACTGTTAATGCTAGCAGCACAATGGTGATCAACGTATTTATGGGAAGCAGGATGCAAAACAAAATGGTAGCCTAAATCTACGTTGCCCTTTTCTTAGTTGTAAACAAATGAATCCGTAAGCTAACAATTAATTATTATTTTTTTAACTCAAGTCCATCTATTAAATGGATAAAAATCAGAACAAACCACATTAATCATGCAAACAAAACGGCAACGGACGGTTATAATAATCACCACTCAGCACAATATAACCCGAAATTGAAGAGACACATGTCGTCGCGCAATAAGCTCCGTGCACGAGTATAGAGGGCGCTGTGCAACTACCACATGGTTAGTTGATGGCGCCACATTTCGCCGGTGTACGTGCATTTGTCGGGTCCATTTTATGAGGAACGCAGAGAGTTTATGCAAACCGGGAGACGCTGGTTCCCCGCAATTTTCCAGAAAGCAGTGAGTGCAATTAATTTGCTGTCGTTCAGATGCACTGCTATCACCGAAATAAAAACTTTTACCCAGTGCTATATACATCAAACTCTGCCAATTGTCCGAATATTAAACCTGGGATAAAAGAGTTCAAGAAGTTAATAAAACTGGAGATAAGTACCCGATGAATGTTCGTCTTGAAACGATTACAACAGAAGTACATTATTTCATTCACTCCCAGTGGCTCCGTCTAATATCTTACAAATGATTTAAAAGTCCAAGAGATCTCCCCCAGCCCCTCCACCACTACCATTGTCATTTCCCTGATGAACCGTTTGGCTTCTGCACGACGACCCACAATCTTCGGATGGACTGGCTTCGGAGGCCCAGCTCACGATCAGCTCATCCGGGCTGGCTGGCACGTCTTGGTCATCGCTACCAGAAGACGAGTTTTCCAGGAAAGTAGTGTGTCCACCTCCCGTCATACCAGGCTCCTCCCCCTCTGAACTGGACGAGTCGAACGGCAGCAGCACCGGGTTGATGTTAGTGCGCCCTCTAGGCAAAGGAGGCGGCGGGTAGGGCAGGTTCAACTGGGCTTCGTCTGTTCGTCCGTTTCTGTCTTGCTCTCGATCCCGTTTACGATTGGGGTTGCGCTGTTTGCTTCCATTAGCGGAGCATTTACAGGACGTTGTGGAGAACGTGTAGCCCTTGTTGCAAGCTGGCTGTAGACACCGATTATCCATCACACATCTATTCATTAAAAACAAAAAAGACAAGGTCATTTCAATGAAGAGTTTAATTGATGTTAAGTTCCTTCGATTTGCTTTAAGCTCTTGCCTAATAAAGATCTTCAAGTGGTTCGAGAGGATGAGCCGTAGTCTGAGAAATGACCATGATTCAACGGAAGTGTAGATGACACATTACTACTCACGAAAGCCAAAGAAGGACAGATCGTGTGCGCATTTTTAACCGTGTGCCGCCGAACCGGAGCGTCTGAGGTACGCAGCTGACTTCGTGCACCCATGCTCAGCTCAGCTGAGCATGGGTGCACGACCAAAATGGCGCTGAAGTGTCCTTCAATGACAGTCATGGCATACTAATTAAAATGAGCTCATTGAAGTTCAAACTTCAAACTCACGTGCACTCGGTGGCGGCCATTCTCCTTCGTGAGCGCTTGATCTTCTTGCACCCGCTATCTTTTTGGTCGCACCTACAATCACAGGTATCCGGGTCCTGTATGTACGGCCTAGGGCAGGGCTTGTTGCACAGACATCGGCACGTGACCTCATCAAAAGTCATGGTTTGTGAGCAGATGGTTGGTTGGCAGAGTGGTACCTGCGACCTATCCTTGCAGACACACTCTGTGTCGGCGTAGACAGAGTGTTTGACGTAGCGGGCGTCCTTGTGTTTGGAGTCGGGCCTAACTGTCATGATGATAAACTGATAAGGAATAGAACAGAAAGGAAAAGGATGGTTGCAAAGTTCGATTTAGATGATGCTCCCATACGTAAAGTAAGTTTACTGCTGTAATCTGGATGTTCCTACAAAGTATCTTTTTTCCCTATCAACCCATTTTTGTTTTAATTTTAATACATTAAACAATGACTTCTACACTTGGAAGATTTTAAAGTATCTCCCACATAAGATACGTCGCTACAGACTTCCAACTAAACTCCATCCCTAATCCTGCACACTAAACAGCTTTTGAAGAGGGTAGAAATGTTCACAGCTTCTCCGGCACATCTGTTTCACCCTTATATTTTATTCAGGCCCACAATGTGAGGCGTCTTGTAAAGATAGATAAAGAGACTGCACATTAAGTCATATGATCCATCATGTTTGTTGACTGCTCAAAGGCTAATGATTGGTACATCTACTCACCGACTTTGTGATGTTCTGCCTGGTGGTCTCCTTCCCTACGCACGGCGCACCGTCCTGACAGCACCCGCTCCCCTCACACCGTCGCACCTTGGTGCATTCAGGGTACACGTAGACCAAGCCACCACGTGTCAGGTTCAGCTCCTCGTACATGTCTATCAGGACTGGGAGGGGCTCGCGACATTGCACACTGACGCCATGCCGGCCAACCTCCTCCATCTCTGTGGTAAAACGATAAAAGTCACGTCAGGAAGTTACAAGACAGAATCTGGAACTCTTTGATGACCCTGGTTAGTCAAATACCAAGGAACGATCTTAAACGTATATAGGCCTATACGAAATGCACTGGTACAACTTTTTGGACAAGTGGTTGACAAGGCCATTTTCGAGCCATTCTTAACATTGTATTCTAGTTAGACATTTCAAATGTATTTCAGTAACTTTTAAACATTTTGTTTGGCATAGTTTAGGCTAAATGGAAATATTAAGATGACGTACCCTGTTCGGCAGTTTCTGGTGTAAACGTGGGCCGATCAGCCTGCCCCACGCCCTGCGTCCTGCCGGTACGCCAGGCGTTCTGTACCGACTCATTCACCATCTTGGTCCAGCGTGATTTGACGGAGTCCACGGGGAAGAAGACCCGTAGGAACTCCTCTGGCGTCCGCACCTGGGCCATCTTACGGGCGACTTCCATCTTGTATTCCTGAAAAGAATCAAGCGGAGTGAGTGTCTGATAGGCGAAACAAAATAAAGTCATTATCTTACTGCATAGAGAGCCTGCATAGAGCGCCCACTACGGACAGGTTACCTTATTTAATTTCAGCGTCAATGGATGCGTTCGTTAAGCTCACCCGGGTCGACACGGGTCAGCACCGTGCCGTTCGATTAGCTCTGACGTCATTCTCGGGGCTCACCGCACCCGGGTCAGCCACCACAGACCTTGCTCATGGAGTAGAGTCACTGGTGGAAGTACGTCACGCATGCGTTGTTCGTTCCCAAGAAACGGACAGATATGGCGGCCGGACAGCGGAAACCTCAAGTGGACTTAAAAGTTGACTTTATTAGAAGTCTAAAGGTAATTATTTATTGAGTTCATTGCAACTTTTGAGGCTATAATTTCAGCCCAACTTTTTTGAGTTTTGCAATTGACTAAAAAAAGCAGTAAATCTCAAACTAAGACCCAATCCGAAACGGGCGTTATGTCAGTGGCTACGGCCACGGCTAAGGGCGTCACGTGAGGATCATGATGGCCGGTGTGGCAGGTAATTCTGTCCCCCCTGGTAAATGTGTCCCCCGGACAGATCTACCGGGTCGTGACCCGGTAAATCTGTCCGGGGGGACACTTTTACCTAGGTAAACCTGTCCCCCTCTAGGTAAATCTGTCCCCCTGCACGACGTTAAATATGTCCCCCCTGGTAAATGTGTCCCCGTGCAACGTCACAAGTCTAGCACCCACACTGTATATTAGTAAAGTTATTAACTGTTTTTGCGCGGCGCCTTGCTAAATTCGGGAATGGTGCTTACGGCAAAGCACAACTCCCGTTTTGATGACGACTTCGGGAGCGAGCGATTTGCATGGTGGGCGTGCGCGCGAGTGTACCGCACCTAGGGCGTGAGGGCGCTAGCGATAGGTTGAGTATTACTACGCGTGCCTTTTCTGCTTTCTCGCAGAAACATAGATCGGTTGATTAACATCTAAACGTTAATTTCATTTTGATAATCATTGATGAAGGGTGGAAAAATCTAAAAATGTATACCCTGTGCGCTGAATTCATTATAATAACATCAATATAACAACTTATGCGTGCAAAACCAGGGGGGACAGAATTAACTGGAGGGGACAGAATTACCTGGAGGGGGACAGAATTAACGGGACATGGGGGACACTTTTACCTAGGTAATTCTGTCCCCCCGGACACTTTTACCGGGGGACAGAATTACCGTCCACACCGGCGGTTGAGCGTTCGGTTAGCCCGGCTGACGTGGCTGACCCGTCTGCTTTTACCCGTGTCGACCCGGGTGAGCTAAACGAACGCACCCTATGAAAGTACACAGAGTATAGTCATGGGTATCACAGAGGAACAATGACTTTCCACCGAGGTGGCGCTCTGTTCAAGCTCTGTATAGACCTTATGCGTTAAGGCGGAGTCAGGGAGCAATGGTTCCGTATTGCTTGGATAGGCATGAGTAAGCCTTGTGTGCATTCATTGTCACTAAATTAGAATAACAAAGAACAGCCTAAGAGACACCTACAACGCATGAGGTTTACTAGTCTCCCTATAGTCTAGTGACGTAATGGACAAAAATCAAACAGGCAAAAACGAAGATTTTGGAGTTTTCACTGGCCTAATACAGATAACACGCTATGATTACGCACAATTCAAGAATCTGGGTTACGAGAAAACACCCTCATGACATAAAATGCAATCCTAGGCCTAAATAGTTCCAAGTTTATTTTATATGAGTGTTTCAGGCCATTCACCTCAGCCCCCTTCTACAATGGAATGCGAGAATTTCGTGCCCCGCCTCATCTTAAATACTGAGGGAATTAACCTACTTTTTCTTCGTCTTTATGGTGCAATAAAATTTAGGGCGATTTCACCTTAAAGTGGTTTACAATGCAACAACGCGTAAAGATAGCATTCCTGCGTTTCAATTATTTACAATATTTTTTTTTCTTTTGGAGTAAATCCTTTTCAAGAGCCCTCTTGAGACGTGAAAGCATAGCCAAGCTAGGCGCCCTTCATAACAATTTGAAATATGCGGTTTTATGGTCATTTGGTAATGCTTTCACAATAAATTGAAAAATAATTACCCCAAAGATACCACGAGTATACAAAATATTTTTCCAACACTCGGGGTTTGAAAGAATGTTCACTTTTAGCCAGGGACCAACTGAAGAGAACTCTTTCGTGTTTTTTTTTTCTATGTAACTAACAATGTGCACTCAACGATCGGGACCAAAGAACAGTTACTGCTAAGAAGAATATTTGGTGAAACAAAATGTGCTATTAATTAACAAACATCGGGCAAAGTGTGCTATTAACAAAGATCGGGCCTAGAACAAATCAAGATCAATACACGGTATGACCTTTCGAGTTCGATTGGAGACTTCTTTTTTGCTAAGAAATATCTCTTGTGCTTGTCATATCCACTAGTAGGCCCCAGGGTACATATCACAGGGGTCACAGGAATGTAGGCCGGATATAGGCCTACATGTACTTAGCACACATACTACATGAACTGATCTATGGAGTCTTCTTGTATGCCTACCCATGTTCTACGACGTCTCAGGAACACTATGTTTAGGCCAAGATCATGACCTTCTTTTTCATGTCCTTGTCTATAAAACACCCCGACTGACGATTGTAATCGCTCTTTTCTAATCATGAGCGACATAATTAAATTGTCCGCCGGGTATAGGAGGCTGCACATAATTTATCATGTGTATCAAGCCAACTTTTTAAGTGGCCAAAAAAACTCTCAAAGTTTTACGTATACAAACCCCTGGCGTCAGAGGACCCGGACCATTTTTTTTACGAGAGTGTGTACTGTATATATGGGCCTTTTTAGAATTAACAAAAAAAATTATACTGAAAAGTTATTTTTTTCCCAAGTTTAAAACTCGTACTTGACAGTTTAATTAAGGTTTATACGCCTTGCTAGACTTTTAAGGTTGCTCGGAGCACACTTTTTTTTTAATTGGAGAATATTTTTTGGGGGTGCGTTTTTGAACTCTGCAAATGTGCTAACAATGGATTAACACGTTTAAAGTTGACTGCATGAATCTGATTTTACTATCTCTATTTCCTTATAGAAATATGGTGTAAGATAAGTGTGTAGTACTTCACGCATTGCATGTGATGGTATAAGGTACGGTGTGAACTTGAATTTCCCTGTATGTACAAAACGGAAGCTGCCTCGGGTGAAATATGGTGCTCAGAACAATTACGATGAACCTTGTACCGACTTACCGAACAATGAAATTAAGTGACCTTGTAATGTGAACCCAAAGAGGACAAGTAATTTTGGAACGATTTGAACTGCATGAAATGAACCTCATGCCCTTTAAGTATACAGCTATATAAATTAAGCCATGGAAATTAATGTCAAACTCAGGAAGCATGACAACATTTTATAGTGATTAAAATTGACATTTTTATGTCCCACCCGAAGTTCCAGACCTTGTAATTTTGATCTGAAGTGAGCACGGACTTTTTTTCTAACGTGTAGCCAACTCATTCAATTTCCTTATACCGTTGCCAAAATTCCTCGTGTTATCCAACGTTTTGCAATCCGTTTATTTAAGGTAAAATGTCAGTGCTCTGTGTAAACTTAATTGGTAGCATAACAGAAAGTTCAAGAGGTTAACATTATGTCGGCTCAATACACGATTTAGTGATAGTTTCTTGGAATACTGGCTGCGCTTTGTGTACACACAGTCTACCGTGTCCCCGACATGTCACCATCAGGTAAAACTGCAGTCACAGCGCACGTTTTACAAGCGCTTTGACTCACCATGTCACGAATAATTATTATCGACAGAACAGTAATTCAACGTTTCCGTCCCGAATTCCGTCTAACTTCTACGAACCAAAAATCTGAATTGAATGCAATGGGTTACTTGGGATCGGTCCAAAAACAATACCATTCATCAGATGAATTTAAACGAGGAAACAGAACGACAATGCTTCCTCAAAATGTAGGCCCTACGTAACCGATTATATTATTTTCAGTTGTTTAATGTGACCTCTTCGGGACTGGGTTCAGGGTCAACTGAAATATTTGCAGTCTTCAAAACAACAATTCAGTTGTTAATGAAAACAAAGCAACATTTACCAAACAACTTTCAGTTATTCAGTTATACGCGTATTTACAGCGACGACATTCTACAATGTCTAACAATTATGAATAAATTATTTCTATGGTAGCCTCTAAAATCATGAAGAAAATCTCTGAAAATTAATCACCCATACTGGGCTTTTTAATATGATTCAGTATTTACACTCTTCATCTGAATAAAAACATTATCAACACTGGGATCCATAGCGTTCTGTGTATTAGATCTAAAATACAATTCCTTCAAAAAGTGGTAGTACGTCAGTCTGAACAAGTTTCAAGACTAACTTCCCCACGACTATAAATACGCCGATTCCCAACTTAGTTAAGGTTGATTATCGATGTTGGTATGTTGGCATAACTATAAACTTGTAGATAGACACGGTAGAGCTATGTATGCCAGGAGGATTTACACAATGATGTCACATTAGTTGGATTTCCCGCAGTCATTTTGAATTCCCATTCGCAGTGAGGAGACTTTAGTATAGGCCTCTACATATACTTGGCTCTATGGTCATAATGTTATACAGGTTTTAAGACAGATAGGAGACACTACGTTTTATACAGAGGTAAAACTATCGCTCTACAGGTATCATTGAATTCGAAATTCAGACTAATGCAGGTTTAGTTATACACTAGTTCTGTACCTTTATTAGAATCGACCTTACCGCTAAGTTCTTGATTGCCTGTGGCGACATGGGAGAGCTCATCCTCCGCCGAAGCAGGCTTCGTCTACTGCTAGCCACCATCATTGCAGATGTCTCAGATTGGACCCGGGTACTACCTCCGCCCACTTCTGCCTTAGCCCGGGGCTTGGCCAACGATAAAGACGCATGTACACCGAGTACTAGGAGCAACAGTCTGCAGTATGTTATCGACCGGTAGGCATCCATCATGGTGCGATATCGTGTTTGCTTGCGGCGTAATGCTTATGTCTTTATGGTAGTTGTGAAATATAATTTGGTTTGCACACAATGCACAGGTTTGCTTTGAACGTAAATGGCCGTTACTAACGGTCACGAACCATTGTTTACGACTTCGTCCCCCGGCTCCACCGTACTTTTTGGATATCTCGTCTGAGCACGACGGATTAAATTTATGTAGTTGCGCAGTTCGAGTCTGGGATGTCCTCCTGTGCTTTGCTTACCAACGGAAATACAACGGGGTCACCAACTTCCGACTTCGGCATGCCCTCCACTAGTTGGTATCAGCTGGAATGTTTTGATTTCCACGATTATGATTGGCAACCAGCTTTTGGGTAATTGCGAGTGCTGAGCGCACTTGACATGACATGGCGGTGTCATGAAGTGCGGGTCGAGTCTTCAACACGCTACTACAGTAGTTCTCGGGTTGTAGGCAATCGCGCATTACTGGCAACAGCTGTTGGGCATACTATACGTGAGTCACGACCCAACTCCGGCTCCTGTCTAGTACTACAAATAGATTTTGTCTTACTCGTTGTCATTTCAAGATTCTCGCTGGACTCCTCGAAGTTACCGCGAGTGTCATCCAATCACTCGGACGCGTCCTAATAACCTGCGGTGTACCGCACATGTCATTTCGATGTGCCAAAACACACCCCGAAGCAAGATGCGGTTTGCATTCGGAGGAAAATCAAACACCTTACCTTACTTGTCTCATGTACCTGTATAAGTATAGGCCTATGGTCAACCCAAATGCCTTTGGTTGCTAAATACAAATATCAAATTTCACATAGATTTTAAATGCTCTATTAAACCATAGAGCAAGGAAGACTAAAGACTCTATGATTAAACGGCCCATACAATTAATTTGGTTAGATCTATAATACAGAGGGGTCGTAGTCTTAATTCATCTGATTAATAAGTTAAGTACTCTAGGCCTGTGTCCAGCGTTGTCTGGGATCATTCAATAACCGTTCGCCTAAAGCACGTGCTGATGACCATATGAGATAACGCATCGGAGGTTGAGACCAATGGGCTGATGCATTATGCGCCATCAGTTCCCTCTTCCTGTAACTCGTCCTCAATTATATCATAGCGCCCCCTTTGGCTCGCTCCAGGCGAATGGTGGTGTAATACCTGTTGACAACAGATGTGGTGTGCATAGCCAAGCAATTTCTTCATACAGGTCGTTTTGTTTAACTATCAACTGCTCAGTGAAAAAAAGGATAAAACTGCACCCACTTTTGAACAAACGCAGTGTTTCGCTAATGTGATTGTGCCGCTGTGGCAGGTAATTCTGTCCCCCCTGGTAAATGTGTCCCCCCGGACAGATCTATCGGGTCGTGACCCGGTAAATCTGTCCGGGGGGACACTTTTAACTAGGTAAACCTGTCCCCCTCTAGGTAAGTCTGTCCCCCTGCACGACGTTAAATGTGTCCCCCCTGGTAAATGTGTCCCCGTGCAACGTCACAAGTCTAGCACCCAGACTGTATATTAGTGAAGTTATTAACTGTTTTTGCGCGGCGCCTTGCTAAATTCGGGAATGGTGCTTACGTCAAAGCACAACTCCCGTTTTGATGACGACTTCGGGAGCGAACAATTTGCATGGTGGGCGTGCGCGCGATACCGCACCTACGGGCCGCGCCAGGGCCGCGGCCGGGGACGGGGACAACATTGCACCAGCAGCAGGCCTGCGGCGCGGTGACCCGTGTCGCGTATAATTTTGCCAATTCTCCTCATTGAAGTCCGCCATGACAGTCACACGCGAATCGGCGGCTGATGCGCGTGCGCGCTAGCGATAGGTTGAGTATTACTACGCGTGCCTTCTTGCAGAAACATAGATCGGTTGACTAACATCTAAACGTTAATTTCATTTTGATAATTATTGATGAAGGGTGGAAAAATCTAAAAATGTATACCTGTGCGCTGAATTTATAACATCAATATAACAACTTATGCGTGCAAAACCAGGGGGACAGAATTAACTGGAGGGGACAGAATTACCTGGAGGGGGACACAATTAACGGGACAGGGGGGACACTTTTACCTAGGTAATTCTGTCCCCCCGGACACTTTTACCGGGGGACAGAATTACCGTCCACACCGCCCGTGGACCCGACATACAGGTCGTGCAATTTTTTGCAGTGAGTTTTAAGTAATGTCGCCCTCTATCGTTCATCTACTCACTACATTATTCAAACGAACATTTAGAGAAAGACTTTTATAATTGTAGCTTCTCCAGACATGTCACAAATTGTTGGGTTTTTTTTACAAACAGACCTATACCACAGGATGGATCAGAAAGCTCAAAAAGTCATGGTTTAAGCATGTACATGTATATACGGTGTAGTTTCGTACGGGAAAATAAGCCAAGAAATATGATTCGTATATGCAGGGGTTTCCCGTACGCACGGAAACATAATCCACAACGCTTTTAAATATCTTTTTTGTTCGATACATGTATATCTTATTTGACATCCCCCAAAACATTCAGTCTATATCGGGACACGATTAATTTACTGAATTTTTCATTTATTGGGGCACGCAATACCGCACAAAACGAGGCATCGGGGCACACATCGAGGCACACAACAGGGCACACAACGCTCATTGTAGTCTGGTTCCCAGACCAAAAGATTCTGACTATTCCCGATGGATCTTTATAGGTCCGGTAGCCTCCGGTAATACATTGTATTACAATTTACGTCACGTGACTAAAACGGGAGGAATTCCTCCTTTTTCTGAAAATTTCCGAAGTTTGCCGAATTCGTTTCGTCGACAATCGGATAGCGCCCGAGTATTTCCGAATATAATATAGGTTTAATTAACTGCTAATTGCTTATTATTTTTTTTTAAAATGAGTTGATAATTAATATTCATTGCTTTCATTTAGAAAACTTGAAATTCAACGACGATTTTGTGCATCAAATATACTCGGATCGTATGGGCGAACTTTTTGCTGCGTCATGTACAATTTGGATTTGACGACCGTTACTGAGATTTTCCAAAACTCGGTCTTCATTCGGCTCCGCCTGCTAACAGTGCTATTTGGGTGCCTAATTTTGAAGATCTCAGATCAACATTAGTCAATGTTATCATACAGAAACATCAAACTGTATTATCATAACTGTATGATATTACGAAGCAAGTGATTTACTTGATCAGACAGATCGAACATTAAAAGCTAAAAGTGATGAAGCGAAATCGGAAACGAAGCCGAGCTTTGAAAAAGGGCCATCAATGTCGTCATGTTTATTTTTAGCCAAGGAGGCTGCCTGACCTAAGATTCATCAGAAATAGTCAGAATCTTTTGGTCTGGGAACCAGACTACGCTAATTGAAATCGTCACTTTTTGGGTCTATTTAGATTGAATCGGGGTTTTTTTTTAAGGGATTGTGGTTTAAGAGTGTAGGAATCGGAAAAAAAAAATCAGGAACTGTTTTGTATTGATGTCAAAGAGCATCCTTTTTTATTATAAGAATGGATGTCATTGCTGGATGTAAACCGAAATGTTCCTATCCCATAACATTTATCAATGGAAATGATGCTTTATGTTCATCACTGCATGGTGCACATTAAAAATCACGACGATCTGAAGGACAAATTCTGTATTTCACCGTAACTATTAATTATACATGGTACAAAAGTATGTTTATTGAGTCAATATTGGATAACGATAAACACTCACTGATAGTATTTAAGCATTTTGTAACATTTCTAAAGGCAAGTATATAACCTAACTTTCATGTAAAGAGTAATAAAGCGATACTTTATGCAGAATGTAGAAAAATCTCTGGAAGATTTTTTTACCAAAACATTTTCAAACAAACCATAAATAAATAAAAAAAACTCACTACTAAGTGCCCTTTAACTTGAAAAAAAAAATGACTGTATTTCTTAGAGGACTTAGTTAAGTCCCATTTGCCTGTGCTAAAATCTCCAAATAATCCTCAACAACCACTTTACAACAAATCAATTGTAATAATATAATACTAATAATATTTCTCATTATGTACATGTACATTATCACCCGGAAAACCTGAATAGGTTTTCACCCATATTATAATACATGCACATGTACAAGTCGTTACAGATATTGGAAGAATAAATATATACATCTCATTAACTGGTCCATTACGTCCAGTGTTGTCGCACTCAGAAGGGTGAAATATATTATTATAAACCGCAGAAGCAATTTTAGTAACCGAAGATGTTTAGGTAACACGCCGCCTATCTTGGCAAAAATTGTAAGACTTTTGATCATTTTTACTCTGATTTGGGTTATTATTAAAGTGCGTCAAAGACCTTTTTAGATTTTGCATACAAATTCATTACAATCAATGCAAACGTTAGAAAACAAATTAGGCTGACGAAGCGCCGAAACGCTTTATCTAACAAGAATTAATATCATAATTATACTACTAATTAGCCTTATGTGTGATTCAAATATAAAACAGGTTATTTTTATATGAATGCACTGTACTGTACAATGTTAAACCGTTGCAATAAGCTGTCAAATTGTGCATGTCTAGCATTATTCAAAATAAAGACACTGGAAAATAAGTCAATACATTTAAAAACTCAGGAAAAGTACCTCAGGAAAATGTATAAATAATGAACAATAAAATTACATCTCTGTATTCTATTTTTTTTTAAATAATGACGTGGTGCACTTTTGACAAAATTAACCGTTCTTGTCACAAAAGAATTAGTATTTTAATTAAGGCTTGTTAGATATATCTAGCCCAAAGGAAAGTCGACTTGTGCTAAAGAAATATATTATAAATGAAATGAAACAAGTCACACGCTCAACAGGTGTAACATGACTCAGAATTCATTCCGTGCCCCGTTACTGCGCACGGTACGGATATCGTGTTGAACTACGGTCCAAATTAAGTCGACGCGACATTGCAATAACCTGACGTAGGCCTACGCATGGACATAATGTTTTAGCAAGCAGACTTTTTCCAAACCAAACTTAATATTCAGGCTCAGGTAGTTCTACAACATGCGCTTCGGACATGCTCATTGCCACGTGCGGTAGATGTGGTGTCGTAATTATACGGCGCATCCGTTGCCGAGTGTTTGCACTTGAAAATCAGTTTGAAAACCAAGAATTACCTGAAACTGAAGTCTTCATTTGTGATTTGTAGCGTCAGTGAAGTTCAGCTTGAGCAAGCTCCAATATTTACCCACGAGTAGTAACTCGTGTTGTCACATATCTCACCACACACAACGCTAAAAGTGACAACCGCTTCCCGCCGATTTGTGTTTGCTACCGAAGTAGTCACATGGTTATGTTTTGTCCATAAAGTAGAACGTGCGCCCTCAAGTGTTCGCATTTCGACTTGTAAAGTACCTCCTTCTTATATGCAGAGAAAGTTTTACAGGAAGTTTGCCAAGTAATGTTTATGTAGCAGTAGATTTAGAAACATGTTGGATAGGTTTATATGCAACCGTGAGGGTCAGAAAATAAGAATGCAATTCTTTTGGGAATGCCCCAAAATCTGATTCCTTCTTCCTACATAAGTATTTCGTTACTTTATACTTACAATCTGTTATCTGACATATGAAAGTACTTCTTGTTACTTGATGCTTTCGATACGATTACGAGTACACATTTGATGTTTTTAGTATTTCTATTTTAACTATAGAGTAATTTTTACATTTTAAAATGCGACTTCAGAGCTCATACTTTCTTACCAATAATTACATTTCATAACAGAATATACAGAATACATATGAAATTGTATTGAAAACAATGATAAAAAATAATGTTGAAATACCTATAAGCACCATTACATATCCCACGCCATCTCTTCATTACGAGATCCTTTATAATAAGTACACATATAATTTGGGGCTATTTTATCTACAGCATTAGCTGCTTGTCATGTCGTGAGCTATACAGGAGTCCAGTAGAAAGTATGTACCTGATGCGTTGTTGCATATGGACTATACAACAATGTAGCCAAATTGTCTGTATTAAGGCAAAATGCTGTTGTCATGCCTTTTATTTTGCAGTGGTACAAGCCTGTTGTTCTGTAGAATGTGCATGACACCCGAAAATGCTTTGGTCTATGGTCTGTTGGCCTGCCATCTCGTGTTTTGTTTTCTGTGATGTTTGCAGCTAATGTTAAAGAAGGTTATATGAGGGGATTGGACACTGAGATTTTCTAAAATGGAAACAAATCTTGCAGGAGGCAGACTGCCCAACTGTTGGCTATTCTCCATATGCTGGCAGGTCCTATTATGCTCTTAAGATAATAGAACTGGCCGGCTGTATCTTAGGTATAGCCTAACACTACCATCATGACACACAGTATAGCCCGTCCATGCAACACAACACCAGGCAAATAATAGTTCTTCAATGGGCCCTGTGAATTTGACAGAGAGGCTGAACGGGCAATTAGCCCCCGCTCACTCGCTTTGGATGTGCAGTCTCGCTTTGGATTCCAACATGGCGGAGCTAACTGTCCTGTGTGTATTCCCTAGTTAGTGATGTGAAGCTAACTCCACCGCCTCTCCTCCTGAACACACTTGCATTTGCTGGAGGAAAATCGGCCGTTGGCGCAGTTGGGGATGCCGCACATTCCTCTCCTTATACATCTAGATAAGAGATAAATCATACCAAAAATAAACACGATATGAATATATGGCAGTTCCCTCTTTACATTGCTTCTGCTACTATTTTTTTTGGGGGGAGGGGGGTGGAGTCACCTTAAAGTGTCACCAGAGCTACACGAATTCAATCCAATATTTCTCTTCTAAACTTGTACAAATCCGTGATCTTTAGAACGAAATTTAGGTAGTAAATGCAAAAGGCACTCTTCAATAAATGCGATGAGTTCCTCATTAAGGACACACTGTATTAGGCATGCACTTCTCACTCTAAGGCCAATTTAAAAACCCAATTTGATGCACGTGTAGTCAAAATATACCTTGATGTAACCCACAACGTTATGAAGACAAACAGTTATTACTGGGGTGGAACCATGCTCGCACCTGTCCCACGCGGCTTAAAATCGAGGCGCGCGTAATTTTACAACCCTATTGGTCAAGGCAGCATCGAGTGCGTGCGTACGAATTGCGCGTGGGCGTGGTATACCAATCAGTCTTCGGAAAACAATTTGTAGGTACATGTACTTACTCGCACTCTTCAGCCACGATTCTTTGATCCTTCCGTCCCCGCTGTATGTTCTTGCAGACTCGGTTGTTGGTCAGGCAGTCACATGCGCACGTGGACTCGTCCTGTAGGAAGGGTTTGGGGCAGCGATAACTACAGATGCAGCCGCACTGACCGTAGCTCCAGATCTTGCCAGCTGGGCAGTCCGTCTCAGGTGGGGAGCAGAAGTCAGGTTTCTCCACGCACTCGCAGTCTATGTCCTCCTCGATGTACCGCGTGGTTATCCGGGTGTTGATCAGGAACTGAGAGGTACATGACGAAGAAAAAAACAAAGAAATCAGTCAGCATTGAGTTTGTTTGAAGCTACTTGTATGAGATTGTACATAGTGTCCGCTAGTCATGTACCGTATCAACATACAAACAGGCAATACAGAAAAACACCAATAAATCAAACGCAAGACTAAATGTACATCTGCCTATATTCTAATTCGCATTAGCATAAAGACCATAAAAGACACAGAAACCTCCTTCAAATTGGATATTAAAAAAATCTGACAATACAAATTGGCCTCACCGGAAATCAAGAATTCCGTTTAAATTTAACTTCAAGGACTCTATAACCGAAATCAGCACAAGCAACTCGAAAATTGATTGATTCCGATGGTGGGGTGGGTGGGGGGTGCTGCAATTTTGTTTCAAGTTTTAAAAAACAACCAACTTTAAAATTCCACACTATTCCAACATTGCAACGAGACCTTGTATAACCCGACCTCGTTTCGAAACTCTTTCCACAAGGACACGCCCCCAACTTTCTATTTTCCGAATCTCTAGGTCATATCCAGTATTTTTGCTACGGTGACACAGCACCTTTATTATCAAAAATTTCTATTGAGTGACACTGTCGAGTAAATTGGTTTTCACAAATCCATAACCCCATGTATTTCTCTACAGAATTGCAAGCATTCTAGTCCTAATAAGTAATTCTATTCCTTATTAGATTGATCATATACTAAGTCCCAAAACCAATTTAGACACGCCTCTTCGCACCCTTTTTTGTCGGTTTTCAATTTATCCTGTTTACTACTCTATTAATTTTTGTCAATCCTGCGTGACTTTTTCCAGCCATTGATCCACCGCTAATGACAATAAGAAAGTAATTTAAAGTAAACACTCAATTTTAATCGGCATTTTAGCCAGTGGACCACAACGTATAGCTTTAAAGAAAGCCTCTAAACCACAGGGGAGACGAAGACCTACTTTTTAAAGTTGGTGATTCCTCATTCTACAACTGACACTGAAGGATAATGGGGAAATAAAATTAACAACACCATCTTTTCAACAAAAGGCTGCATCCGTGGTGTTAAAAACACGTGTAGGCCTATGTAAAATGCCGCGTTTTATGGATGGAAGCTTCTGAAAAGACGCGAGATGCAGAATCATTTTCCTCTTTAATTAAGTTCGGAGTTCGCATAAAAAAGGCCGATTAAGGTCAAACACCTAAACGAGATGGATCTTTTACCATAGTTCAGTCCTCGTGTATATCTGCCTAACACGGCCAGAAGGCAGATTGACAGTAATTTGGCTTTAATATTGGAGCACACCGCCCATATGATATACAGAGTTTCCTGGGACCACCTATTAGTAACAGGTGTTGCAGGTTGCCTGCAGGCTAGAGTACGATCAATATTTCTAACATTCATACCAAGTTTGGCTATTACATCAATCTTCAGATCTCGGTTCAGAACTCGTGCCAAGTTGTGCGTCTATACGAGCTTGGTATCCATTTTTAATCAGTCGGTACTGCTTTAAAAAATAATAGACTTCAAAAGTTTCCTGTAGTTTCTGCGGGTTAGAATTAGTAATAACATACCGATCAAAGACACATTTAAGTTGAAAAAAATTTGAAATAAAAATGATTTGAATGGTCCTTACCAGTTTAGAAACATTTTGCCTGCCGTTGCTGCGCGGTTCGCACTCCTGGTCGTCACGGCAACAGCCGCCATTTTTACAGCGCCGGACCACGATGCATTCTGGGAAGACTTTGGTGTCGTAACCCTTGGGGATGTTCAGCTCCTCGTAGCTATCCAGGACAGTGTCACGTGGTTGGCAACTTGCCCGCGCGCTCTCCTTGTCGATCAGTTTCATGTTGTAGTTTGTGGAAGCCGCTGAAGAAAAAAAATCAACAGAAATACAATTTTATAAAAGATCATTTGTCCATCCAAACTGCAACACTTATTCTCCCCAAAGAAAAAACTAATGCAAATTTTGAAACTCTTTTATTTGACTAAATAAACCTGGAATGATTTCAATCCATCAAATTCATCCTTTAACAAAGTACAGCTTTCTCGATTGTAAAATGAATTTACGGCAACGTCAGCGAAGATAATTGGATGCGCTCTGTCGATTTCTTTGCAGACAAAGAAACGACTCGATGCGTGATGTATGACGGGAGTTTCTCTGTCGGAGTTTTGGAGTTCAAGTGCACGTAGCTTACGTTTTATTCATGGGTTTGAAACCAACATTTAACTGGCAATCCCAGGTTTAGGGTTTAAGATTGAGGAAGCATTCAAATTATGACGGCGTGGCTGCTCAGAAAGAGAATACACATTTTTAAGACATACAAACTAGAACATTCAATGTCTCAGAAAACGAAGAGCAACTCCACGTTTTGAGCATCAAGAGCACACGGATGGCAAGTCCGCAATATTAAAAGCTCAAACAGTCTCCATTGTCCGCAAAACCTTCTAGCAATCAATTTAAGAATCGCATCAATGGCAATCTTTTTGGGAATCACAATCGGTTTTTTTGTGTATGCATTTAAAGGAACATTTCAACCAGAACATTTCAAGGAGCGGTACTTTCAGAACGTGATTTGCTACGCAACTTCTAATACACTGTGTCCCTAAAATATTGTTTTGGAAGAAAAGTTAAAAGCTTTTATTGTATAGGATCTTTTCTCGTCCCTCTTAAAGGTCTATTATCTATGTTCAGTATTGCAATGGACTCAATCTAAATAGTTTTTAGGGACCAGTTGGTATGTAAAGGGTACAAGTTTCCCACGAGTGGTTGATTTATGCGGTCTACCTTGCACAATGCCTTTGAATGTAATTTTGCTTCACTCTCAATGTGGCTCCCGTACCCAGAGGTACGACACATGGAGTATTTGAGCCGGTTATGGATCAGACATAGCTCAAGTTCAGGCTCGACATTTGCAGCGGCATTCCACAATCTTTACGACTAACATTATATAAAATTGCAATTACAAACGGGGCGAGTGGGGAGATATTTTCGTTTACCAAAGGTGGTAATAAATTAGCAGTTGTCTCGGAGGAGACTGGATGTTGTTTCCATACCAAATAATATAAATATCTCGTAAATCTCGAATCTGGATGCATAATAAAACACGCAAGATACTAATTTTAACAGTAACATACAGTTGTATGAGAATACGGCTCTCCGTATGCACGCACATGCAATGAAAAAGGGATGTAAAAATCAGAAGTCGCTGGATACCATTTGAAGAATGACTTACATTAGCCTACATTCCCATATGTTTTGCTAATAAAAACCAAATCGACTGAAGCTATAAAAAAAAAAAAAAACTATGTATGGCTAAATAATTCCAAGTTGCAATACTGAATATAAATGTCGACTCAATACATTTTTGTTCTTTGATGGTGACTCGAAAATAATTCCCAATGGTTAATTCACAAGCCGAAACTCAGCTGTACATTTCAGGGGAACAAAGAAAAGGACGAGGTCCCGTAACTGTAACACCAACCACCCCACTGAGAGTTAGACAAACACTGGAAAGTTTCAGATTGACACCCCTGAGGCTAACACACCTGAGGCAGCTAATTTGGTATTTTATGATGCTTAACACCTTCCAATATTACGCTTTGAAGCACCCTTCCTTTGTCCGATGGTATTTAATTGGTGATGCGCCAAAGGTTCCTGTGCCGCAGTCGGCTTCTTTGCTCTGATTCTCTGGTCTACATTTTGTTGGCGATCAATAGTGCTATCAGATCAATTAAATTGGCTCTTGTGAAGGTGATAGTTTGGAGCCTGATAGGTGCACAAGTTGAGAAATGAACTTACACTTCACAGTGGCACGTGCTTTACTATTAGAATTTACCAATTTCGGAAGATAAAATAATAGAGCAGACAGTATAGGCCTACATTACGTCGGTGCAATTAATAGTGAGACATGAGTGCAAACTGCAAAATAATGCCTATACTAAAGTTACATAAAAACATATAGGACAGTTCAAGCAAAGAGGAACTCAGTTTCGACTTGGCAGTTATGGACAATATGAATAGCGATCTATGCACTGCTTATGTGCAATAATGTCACTATTCGTGCCAAGTTTTCCAGTAAATTGAGCCTGGTTTTGGGAGAAGGTTGTCTCATATTAAGAACCCCTTGCAGAGAGGCAGTAAATCGATACCAAACCCATCGCTGAGGGAGAGGATTTTAGCGGCTGATCACCGGGTGAACCTAGCCACTGTCCCCTAGAGAATGCCCCTCGAGATTGCTCGAAAAAAGCCTCCCCGGACCCCACATGTCAAAACATCGAAGCCAAGAAGCTCTCACCCGACCTTCTTCATCAAATAATTGATTGGTCTAGCTTGAACGATCATAAATTGTGTCCACAATGTTCGTTTGCAAGTTCGCAGAACCGAACCACATTCGTTGCCGATGAGAATCATATGATAGATATCAAAGTACTGTAAAAATGGAGCAACAATGCTCGCTAATTTTATGTTGGTACTTCGAAAGAGTTTACCAACTTTTAAAGGTCGTCGATACTTTTTTTTTTTTACCAGCATTAAGCAAGACGGGAGACATAACATTACCGAACTTCAATGTGAATGTCTACTCTACACTTCTTAATTTTAACCTTGTTCGATATACTTCTAATTTGGGGCTAGTTTAGGTTTTCTATAGCTTAGTGAAATGAAAAGTATTTCCTTGTCACGCAGTATTCTTGACAGGGGCTTTCACTCAACATTCAGACTAGACCAGACAGCAGGATTTACGGTTGTCAGCCATAAATCATTCAAACTTCTCGTGGAAAAAATAGCCGTCTGTTAGGCTGAACATTCAGTATAATTTCTTCTAAATTTGTATCAGTTCAAAAGCCCATTTGATTAATTGGAGCTACTCTGTCTTTAAAGTCAATCTAAACCGCGAGATGAAGCTTTTACAAGATCATTGTTTCCTTTCTTTAAAACAAAATATTTCCTGATGTCCACTAGGAAACGTAACTATGCCACATAACTGTGTCTCAGTACCACGTTTTAAACTATTATCCGTCGTGGTTGTCAATATAACTTGCTATATTTGAACAGCGCCACCAACGTCACCATTACTATCTACACCACGTCACTATATTTTATTCAACACAAAAATGATCCTATTTAAATCTCAAACCTTTTTTTGTGATCTGCCCAGGCATGACCATCCTTGAATACAGTTGACTAAATCTTGCCTTCTTTGTGTCTACATTTTTACATGACTTGCACATTTACGTTGGTACAACAAGTAGGCTAAAACTAAATTTTATGACATAAAAAATACTTTACAATACTGAACTTTTTATGGCTTTTATCGAATGGAATGTATTTCTTTTTTTGTCGCTTGGAACGGATTACAGTATCGACTTCAGGCTCAAAGAGCCGAGTAACTTTTATCCTGATGTAAGCCCGACACGGATCTTGCCCTTTATGCGTTTTTTGAAAATAGGCCGTGTGTGATTTTTTTTCTTTGAAGGATCCGAAATACCACGACAATGAATGTACCTGTCGCCTATAAGAAAAAAATGACAATGGAATGGAAAAACAAACAAATCCTAGAGCGGTGTACTTTCTTTGGCCGGTCAAATCCGAATCCTCGACCGGCCATGCCCGGGCACCTAGGGAGAACAAAACGGCTGGCTCTGTTGTCAGTAGAAAGAAAGTATTTGGGTTTAAAAAATTGGGCACAGGAAAGTGTCTCATACAAAATTTAACTAGAGATTTGAAAAGCTTATTATTGTCCAGTCGGGAGTGGGCAGCACTAGCACTGCACCCATCTTTCTGTGTTAATTTTCTCATCCTAGGACCGTCAAGCTTGACTGAGTGTGCACCAAAGTGGAGTTCCCCTTGCCCAAACTTGTCATTCCCAAGCTGTCTCTCATCATAATCAGCCGTGACGCCAAGTATTATTAATTTGTTTTTTACTGAATGCCTCTGCCTGACTTTAGAAAAAAAAATCTGGCTGTAAATTTGGGTGGCGAGAGATCCCACATCCGCTGAACTGTGTATACCGTCAGACCTCGTCTGTGGACACGGTCCGTGGGCTCACAATCGCGTGGTGTGGCGAGAAACAGTCGGCAGGAGGGGCCGGCACTGGCACCGGTTCACGAGACACATTTGTCAGGTTGTTACGAAACAATTATTGTATCAAATGGTTCCCACGTCTTACCACGGACCGATAATTATTGTTGCAAAAAGTATATTGTCCCGAACTCCAGGGACCATGTTTTTGTTAATCTATATATTTTTTTTCAGTACAAGCCCAGCGAAATGGAATAAATACACACCGTTCAAGATCAGTAAGTTTGGTCATTCAGACGTCTTTTCTCATTGAAAGTTCAAGCTTTGTAAGTTGATTAGTTCTAGCCCCTTTTTTGCGAACAATACCCAATTCTAGGATAGGCAATAAACCAAGCGGAAAGACAATACTTTGATGACTTTTCTTTTTACTTTCTGTCACGTAAGCCTTCGTACAGCATTTTGCCGAGTAATAACCAGTTAGCTCTCGGCTACTATCGCTCTATAGTCTGTGTACTTGTACTTGGCTCTAAAGTGTTTTCAAATTGTCGATGAAAATAGATGTTTAAACTTTCTCTTCAAAATTCGTTGGGCATGTAAGAGATAAAGTAGTACATGTACAACCAAAGTTGACAGAAGTTTAGACTTGTTTCCAGTCTGACTCTGTGCTTCCTTAGAGAAAATATGTTATGCTAAAGGTATCTCTAACAATTCAACGTCAACATATGAATGGTTTACGTAAGCATGTATTGAACGTCAAAATATGAATTACGTAAGCATGAAAACTCTTCTTTTTTCTCTTTCACTGTTTCTTTTACAGATACATGTATATAACCCACGTGCTAAATGACATTGGTTAAACTGGGACCGTGAAAAAAAGTAGTAAAGAGCAAAATATGACTATGGGGCCCATTATTCTATCTAAAAAAAACCATGAAATTGCAGAAAGAGAACTGATTAAGAACAAACGAAAAGTAGGATATAATCATTTTGTTCTGTTGTCATTGAGCTTTCGAATTAGCCAAATGAATCATGGGACAATGGAGCACATGCTAAATATGATATTGTCGACGAAATCAAAACTGACTTTGTGTCGCTTTCTTGTTCTTTTAAAATCCTACTCCGTCAAAACGAATACCGACGTGTACTCGAGTTCTCCAAAGAGTTCTCCAAACTATGTGCGTTAAACATTCCTTGAGGAAATTCATGCGCAGATGGGGGTTGCAAAAATAGGCGCTAGTCCTTCCAACTATTTCCAACAAACGCTGCAATCTGTCACGGTACATCTTCAACATCAATCACTATCCGCCATGATGTGATTGCAATGGGCCCATAAGTTTGACAGGACACTTTTATGTGTTCTTAATATCACAGTTTGAGGCACTATTAGTGCAAATTGAGATTGGTCTCTACACAAAATAAAATATGTGCGTGTTCGCGGAATTTGACAATTGACTGAACGTTAGTATATTGCTTTCGCGGGTTTTGGACAAATTTTCATAAGTTCACAGGTTTTTGTTGTTAACTCTTTTAAAGTTCGATAAAATTTTACCAGAAGTAAATAATTTTATACAAAATACTGGGCAGAAATACATTGCATAACTTCTTTTCACCAAACTTTATGTAAACTGCCGCACTGTCGTGCAATTTTAATGAAGGGAATTATGCACTCAACAAATGATTAAACATTTTTGATCAATGTTTTCTCTTCTTTACCAGCAGTATATATTTCATCCTAGCAAAGCACACCGAATTACTTTAGTTATTGGAAGACTTTTCCCTGAAACATTCCATATGCACACGGCCTTCACTTAACACTTGGGAATTTGAACTTGAGCGAGGGAGATACTTTATTAATATTTTCTCACCAGGCGCGTATATTTATGTTTCAAGGGGGAAATCCCCTCTGGGTAATGGGGAATTTGAAGATGCAGTGTTGCTAACCAGACGTGGAGCTATTTTGTGCGCACCGGGTCACAACGCATACACCAGGTGATGTCGCAGTGGGTTGCGGCGATTTCAGCAGCGTCACAGCTGTTGGTTCACCTGTTTAGATTGGCGCGTTCCGCTACTCACTTGCCACCCAATGGTCTACGTACTCGTTGGTGGCAGGCATCTCAGGTATTCGGTGAGATCGGGTTCACCAATCTGCCATCACTCATCTTTGGGTATAGCCTTTGCAGCTTCGGTCATTATTCTTCAGGATCAAGAATTCCAGGGTAACCCTAAACACCCGACACACTGTAGCAAAACTAATATGCTAGTATCATCACATTAATTCATTTATGTCGTATACTCTCTTCACTCTATTATACTTTATTTATGCAAAACCTCAGGTTAGGTAAATAAAGATACAACCTACAGAATGTAGACATTTTGTATACAGCTAGAGTCAATATATGTTGGGTTGAAAAAGATCGAGGCTGAACTTGCCAAGCTTTGGTTACTTGGAAGAATTCTTATATACATAATAGCTAATACTGCAACCTACATTGTGCAGACTCGATATGGTTCCTGTATGACGATTGCGTGCAAGGAGCTAAGAAAGAAATTGCTGATAACATACCATCTCTCTGATGTTGTTTTGGTAGTGCAAGTCTTAAATAAGGACATAGCAAGATTGATGAGTTTGGCATATCATATTACTCTTTGACAGATCTGCTAAATGCTGGGAATTTCAAAGTTGGAGGGCGGTGACCTGGCATACTTTCAACACTTCCTCAACGTAAACACCAACTTGAGGAGCGATGCGCGTGTATATATATATAGGGTATCAGTTGCTATCTTCAGTAGACGAACATGGAATAAGTCGGATTATACTGAAGTTGAGGAATTCCTCCCGGGCCGTTTGGTTCGGAGTTCCCACGGGGAGGTGTAGCAAGGGGTCCCTGCTGCCATAGCTTGAGGGGCTCTGAGCTCGTTCGTGACCCACCAGGAAAGAAGCTGGTTATGGTTCCATGAAGCCTCATCGGGAAAATACAAAATCTTTTCAGTGGTAGTCAAACCCGATTCCCAAATTCAATTTTGGAATTAAACTGCTCTATCATGTTTACTCCGGGTAATTCATTTGATATATATGTTATTTCAAACCTTTTCACATGAGGCCATTGTATTGAGTATTTTCAATTATGTACAGACAGGGGAGAAACCGAAGCCTGACGCGAAGCCGTAGTTTCGAAAACCCTCAGAGACTATTGATCCTATAACTAGCCTATAAGGTTGTGGTAGCCTAGATTCCAGCTTACCTCGGAATTTGCCACCTGCTCTTCCTAGTCTGACTCTGTTATTGATAGCACTGTCACTCTGGATTTCAGACAACATATCGTCGCTTTCGTTGAATCTCTCTGGGAAGTTCTTCTGTAAGAATTCTTCCACCGTCTTGGCACCGCCTTTCGTTCCATCGGACTTGTGATTTGACTGTTGGAAAGAAAAGGAAAAACCATAGAATTCAGAAAAAAGTGTACATAATTTGAGGCTTAGCATGGTGGAAATTACAATTTGGAATTGACTTCACCTGTGAAGAGAATTAGTTTAAGGAAGAAACAAGAGGTTTGAAACGCGCGTTTCAGTTAGTGTGGTTTAGTCATCTCCTCTTGATGATGGTAAGAGCAGGGTGATCGAAACGTCTGGTTAACATCATCATTATTCATTAACAATTTGTTAGTTCTGAAAAGCGTAAACTGCCACAAATCAACACTCGCATTTCAATATAGTAGAACCTCCATACAGGTCAAAAGGTAACGCAGAAGGTTCAATCGTCGGTCACGAACAAGTTTAGATAAGAAAGTGCAGGTTCTCGCGTTTCTTGGAAATCGTTCTTTTGCAAATAAATTTTAATGACACTAATTTTTCCCCTGGTACCTTTTAAATGGTTGAAAATTTACGCCGCACTCTCAAAAAATTAAGAAACGCGCGTTATTGATGACCACTTCTGCTTTTGTCAAGTCATGTTCAACAAGAGAATTTCCACCTGCCGCGAGTCCAATGGATCCAAAGAGGTTCTATTTTAGCGGCTAGTTGGGAAATTCCTCACGCCATTCCATCTATATTCTTTCATGTTGGCATTGACCAAGGTATGGTGAGCTCGCCCAGTCGTGAAAACAGATATTACTTCATTAAACCTTCTTTTATGCACCCGACAATGATTGAAAGGGATATCTCTTGGCGGAATAACTTGTGCTTTAATACTGTCATACTAAGTGGATGGCATTATTTATGACCCCGTCCGGGTTATTCTGAGCGAGGACAAAAAAATAATATCAATCTGAATTTTGACTTGTGCCCATGGCACATTGGGAGCACAAAAGAGGGCCGATGGAAGCCAGCACCGCACGGGGAACAGAGAGCTTGGTTTTCCCATACACACGGTCAAGGCTCGTCCAGGGCTGCCCCTGCCACGGGAAGTATTTGTCCTTGTTAGGTTTGTCAACAAGTAACGAATAATTTCCCTTTTGCCGGTCTTGCCTGGGTTACAGGCCTAAGCAGATATATACGCGATATTAGCCTAGGGGAGCGCATTGGAGACTATGGGCCTGTGTGGTGTATATTAGGGTCCTTATGAGGTGCTATAGGGTAGCGTACGAAATTAATTAGTGCAACCTGTTTGGCAAACTGTTGTTGCTGTTCGTTACCATGATCTAAAATTTTACATCAACACATATCATTGCATCTTTGTCCCGTGTACAAGTAAAATTCTGTAATTATAAAACGACTACTTCGTTAATTGTTAACTTTTGATTAGTAGAACCATATTTTGTTGGTATAGTTTGGTATAAAAACAGCTGTTAACGTTTGTGCTGTATTTAGTCCCTATTTTGAGTCGATTCACTGCTCCTTTTTGACTTACAATAAATGTTACCAGTTTAGTGCACACAAGTTTGTCATTAGGTTTCTAGGACAAGTGCGTCAGACTCCCGCTAGGAAATTCGGCAATTCATCAAAATTGTGGACTACTCCACTTATGTTATTATATAGATCCAAGTATTGTAAACTGATTATGCCATTACCAAGCTTTCAACTGAGCCTGTACTATAGTTAAAAAAAAAAATCTATGCGCTGCCACTGACAATGGGTGTTGCCAACGACTTACAGTGGAATTTCATCTTCATTTCACTTTTATCAAGTCTCGCCAAGGGAACAAAACAGTTCTATGAAAGATGAAATACAGTAAAGGGAAAGGTATGGCGGTCTACTGTGGATGGAATTTTATGGGATAGGTAACTTATGCTTCAATGAAAGTTCACGAACCCGAGTCTGAGTTCTCTCAGCGAATCTGTATACGCTTAATTGAAAGAGTTTTCGATTCACACAAGAAGCCGGTCCTGCTTCCGTTCGATTTCTTCAACGGTTCTATCAATGACGTGTTTCGCTATTCAGATACAGGGAAATGATAAGGAGAGTAAATGAATTCTTTACAGCTAGCATATTTAGCGGTTACAATTTCAAGGTTTTCAATCGTAGAAATGGGTCAAAAGAAGAACTCTGAATGTACTTAATGGTGCAATGCTCCCGTGGCCTATCAAAGCACCAGCCACGTAGGAACCAGTATTGACAAAGTCAGTGAAAAACGAACAAAGTCAATCTTTTGGAGACTGATTGTGCGCCAGATACCCTCTGACATTTTGCCATTTGCCCGTTTTGACAGGGGAAAAAAATCACATGCAACTTGTTCTCCTGTGTTGTTAAACTATTTTGGGCAGAAACCGGTCATTGTGCGCATGTTATATTTTCAAGCAACGCATTTCGTCAACTGGCTATAAAGGACAGACATAGTACACTCCATACAGGAACTTGTAATCGCTGAAGTTACACAACTTTGTGATTTCTTCATTGAAATGAAGACTTGAATACAGTTGATTGTAGGGCAAATGTTTTGCATGAACATGTATATCTCTTTCAATGAATATCGGTTTCGAAATTGAGATTTAGCTTTGTAATGTGGGATACTAAATAGGCGGTAAATAAATTGATGTGGGTTTGGTGGTTGGTGGGTGTGTAAATGGACATAACCTTCTCGTTGAACTCTGTGTATGAATACTTGACAAAATGCTGTCAACACGAGTGAAGTGTGCCATTACTCGTGTGGCAAGAGAGATCAACTTCATCAAAGAGATGAACTGCGGTGACCAGCAATTCATCTTGTCCGCTCACAAAGGAGACACCGAGTTATATGCCCAGAGCTGCTGGTGTTATTTCGGAGTTAAGAGTGTCAGTCATTTCAGTTTTCAGGATTAGCCTTAAGCGGAGTTCAGCTCACAGTTCATGCGGTCGGTGAGATGTGGGTTAGCGGACATATTTTCTCGGTCAACCACAGGCGTTATTATTATTTTTTTTTCGCGGCTTGGCACGGACGGGGAGAACCGAAACTATCATTATCATGAAGACTATAGGGCATGGAACAAGTTGAGTCTTAATTGTTGGTTCCCCTAAGTACACGATGAAAACAGCTACTTTAACTAAGAATTATCGAAGAAAGGAAGTGGTTGAAGCTGGATGCGTGCTTTTAAGACCGGCTTTAGCTTCTCAAGACTTTCAATCAAGTTCGTTCTCTCACGAAAACGACGCGGACTGACGGTGCAAATCCTCTGGAGGGCGCTGTTCTAATCATTTAACATTGTTACTTGAGTCAGTGTGAACCACTAGTCAGCTCCTTTAAAATTGCAGACCACCTTTAAGTCTGGGATTTATAGTACTGTGGTCGGATGTAAATGATGTCAGAGATTTCCTTTGTAAGGGAATTGTCGACAATGCCCATGTGTGACGACATCAATACTCCTATGCCATCTTTGCCCATTCCTGCTATAATTAAGACCTGCTTACACAATTCACCCGACTATCAAATTGTTATTTCAAAACAGATAAAGACTGGAATAGCATTGGGTTCCTGTGGGTACTATACAATGTACATTCTCTGTCTGATGGGTTTTCGAAACCACGACTTTGTTCCGGCTAAGGAATCAGATTTCATATGCAACGTGCTTCTGGACATTGGAAGCTTACTATTAATTCCAAATGAGATGAAGACAAAGCTATAGGCAGACCCAGTTTTGAAAAAACCGAAGAGGACGCAAGTTGAGGACATCGTCCTACATGACATTTAACTGAATTTGGCGTAGACAATACACTTGGAAGATAATTCGACAAGTTTCATATGCGGTCTAATACTGACCACTTTGGAATTTCGCATGAATGAAGAGCAGGAAACTGTGGTACATTTTTGCTGCAATTAACAGCACACACACGTCTGGTTTTGAGTTTCATTTTGAATAAGACCTTTCCTCGCATTTGAGTGGGAGTTGAACAAAGACTGGTAGGCCTACAGAAATGTGATGTCAAAAGTCAAACTGACTTTAAATGACATTCCGAAACAGCAATCGTCTAGTACAGAAACCACATCCAGTGGCAAATCACATACTAATAGCAACCGCAATCATAATACCACTGATGAATTCAACACAACCTTTTCCTGCAAATATGAAGTTTTCACATTTCCAGACCCAATGAGCCTTTGCACTGTACAAAAAAAAACTCCGTAAGATCCACAATAAACTCAAGCTAAAACAATAGAGGCAATGCCCTACTTTCCCAAAAAAATATATGGATCATAATGTGGAAACTATACTAGGTCAATGGCATCTCGGTATAACGGCACACATTTGAGAGGTCACTTGAGGTCATTCTGTTCGAGAGTCGAGACTGTTGCACGGGACGTTACAGAGACTTTAAAAGTAGCTGTTGAAGACGGGAGAGTTTAAAGTCCGTTTCCATTCTCGTCTCACCTATCGTTCCCCCGTGATTTCACCGGATCATCCGCTCCACGCCATCGGGCAAACGTCCGGTCAGGCTCCCATGGGTCACAGCTACTGATACGCTAAGGTGGATATATCCACCCGTACAAGCTACGGCCGAGACACATCGCCACATTTCAACAGAATCACTGTTGGTGGTCTCGGACAGTTGGGTAACTTAACATGGAAATACCTAACAAGTTGACACGGATATTGTGAAATTGATTGCAGTAGTTACGAGCTTCAACATTCATCATTTCAAATGTCATCGTTATCTAAACCCTGAGTCCCTGAAACAATAGAAATGGACCCGGCGGCAATTTTGGTCGTATTCCCTGAAGATTCACAGATGCTCTGTATGAGGTCCTTCACAATGGTCAGGCGCCAGTCCGATGGTCCAGCCAACTTGGACAAAACATTTACCTAACTTAATTTAATCATAGACAAATATAACTCATTTAGGATACAACAGTGGTGTATGACATTTTGTGAGGCAAAATCCTCACGGGATTTGCCGATTCTTCCTAGAAGTGTGCTATAAATAATCAACTAGTGGTTTGTACCCCTAGAGAAAGACGCAATGCAACCCATCAAAGTCAAGATGAAAAATGGCAGTCAATATTTCGCCTG